GTACTTAATGGTCACATTTCACTGGTACCCCTCTCTACTATAGGAGCCTAGGCCCTGCAAGCTCAGGTTACAAGGCCCAGCCTGAAATACACAGTTCTGGAGACCGTGGGATGCAGGTGTTGGGGGCTTTGAGAAGCTCTCAATTCTGTAGACAGCTGTAGACACTGCACTTGGGCTGGATTGTGGCAACATTCATGCTGCATTTAAAGATATTTATTTGTTTACTTTTGAAATAGTATCTCTCTACAAGCCCTGGATGTTCTGGAACTCACTTATATAGACCAGACTGGCCTAGAACTTATGGAGATCAGCCTGCTTCTGCTCCCAACTACTGGGATTAAAGGCACACGTGACACCATGCCTGACTTGTCCAGTTACATTTTGAATTCTGTGAGCTTGTGCAGAGTGCAACTGCCACTAATGGCACCTTTCTATGAGGATATATGCTGTGGGTTTACTCACCTGGAGGCTCATATGGGGGCCCAGAAAGGCAGTGGCAGGGCCTTTTTGGGTGAGCACTGGGAAAGAGGAATTCAATGAGCACTCGGAGTGTGTAAGGGACTGTGGGGCCTCAGGGATGAGCCTGGGCTCTCATCTAGAAAAGAAGACCATCAGGATGAGAGGACAATATGAGTCCATCACAAGTCTTCTTATATAACACTGTGTAGGCCCCAACAATCTTCACCCTGATATGAACTGTGCTTTTGTAAAGGCTTTCCATACAACCTGGTGCTGATAGAGAGGCCTTAGATCTGAGGGTGGAGCTCTGGCTTTGGCTCTTTTGGGGGCCGCGTGACTGCACTTGACACAGTTGCTCTTGGGAGAATACCATTCTCCCTTGACCTGAAGAAGAAACCCTCTCATCCTCATTAGGGCTCCCATCAGCTTTCCTTGGAAAGGTTTACACTTGGAAGTAAATATTCCTCAGACCAGGACTGATCAACACTTGCCCAGCTCTTGGGTTCTGAGGATAAGTATCACACTTTCAGATAACTGGCCTTACACTTGACTCATAAATGTCCCTACCATGAAGGTTAGCTTGCTTGTAGGTGGTTAATTGGACTTCCTTCCTTTCTTCCTTCCTTCCTTTCTTCCTTCCTTCCTTCTTCCTTCCTCCTTCCTTCCTTCCTTCCTTCCTTCCTTCCTTCCTTCCTTCCTTCCTTCCCTCCCTCCCTTCTGTTTTCCAGAGGCAGGGTCTCTCTGTGTAGTCCTAACTGGTCTCAAACTCAAAGATCCACCCATCTCTGTCTCTCAAGAGCTGGGATTAAAGACGTGTGCCATCATACCTAGCCATGGATTCTTCTAAGAAACAACAAAGTAGGTCACCATAATCTGCTCATCACAAAGGACCACATGGCTGATGCTTCTAGGGTTGAATTGCTGGGCCCCACATATTTGTCCCAGGAAGGATGGTGGGCATGACAAAGGCTGAGGGTCTTTGTGGCTATACCGTCAGCCACCTCTGACTTTGTGTTCCATTTGTCCCTGCAGAGACTTGATGCTCCCAGGCAGCACTTCTCGGTGTGACTCGCTGTAGGAAGAGGGGTCGGGGCTGAGCACAGCCAGACTGGGTTAACCTGGGCAACCATGCAGACTGACTGCTGGTTGCTTGTCTCAGTCCTGGTCCCTCCACTCCTGTGCCTGTCTCTCCTGCTCAGATACAGTGCCAGTGGGGATGGGAAGCGAGGATAGTAGGTGGTACAGGGTGGTTCCTTCTGGTCAAGGTCGCTTTACACTGTCACTGTCCTCTCATTTCTCTACCTCACAGAGAAGATGCTCGGGAGGCCGAAAATTCCACCCAGGTCGAGCTGTGTGGAAGCCGCAGAGTCAAACTCACAGCTAAGCTTTGTTGAGCTGAATTGGTGCTATGGTTGGTACCACATGCCTCTGTGTATTGTAGGACACCCATCCTGTCTCTCTGATGCTTCAAGATCCCTTGGGGGGAGGGGACTGGAGCCATGTGCTTTCTAGTCTGCTCTTGGCCTCTCTCTGGACTGACCCTTAATGCTGGGAATTTTCCTTCTGGCAGAATGGAGAGCCAGGGGCTAATCTTATCTTCCAGGACCAGAATGGGACAAGCTACAAGCTGGCCACCCTCTCCTCTGGTCCCATCTTCCTCCCCCAGCCTTTGAAGAAAGCTGATGGCTGCAGCAAGTCCTGACTGTAGGACCACCTCATAGAAAGATCCTCTGTTGGGAACATATCTCCTTTAGGATTTTGCTCCACAGAGATCCAAGATCTGGGGACAGACTCAGGAGGAAGCTCCCAGGGGACTCCTGGTAGGCGGCAAACTGTGGCTGTGTGAGGTGGGGCTGGGGGTGGGGGTTGGGGTAGGTTAGAGGTTATGATTTGCCTTCTACCTGTTGAGAAGTAATGACAACATTCCCACAAAGGAGTTGCGGGTGTTCTGGCTGCGAGTATCTGCACTGGGTCCAGGAGTCTACTAGGTGACAAAAAGTATCTCAGAATGAGGGGGCTGGGGAAGAACAGAGGGGCGCAGGGTTGCTGGGTAGGCAACAGTCTAGAAACCCCAAACGGTGGCTGTGCAGTGAGGCTTCATCTCTCCTGCACCATTGTGCCTCTAATAAACCCTCCTCTGTAGGCTGCATGATTTCTGCTGAGTCTGCTTCTGATGAACTACTGGAGGATAAAAGGGATTAATCCATTGCCCTTCTCAGAGGTAAGAAAACAAACAAACAAACAAACAAATAGCTTTTGGAAGCTGGAGAGATGGCTCTTTAGAGGGTTAATTTCTTCCAGAGAACTTGGTTTAATACCCATTTAATGTGGCTTAAAACAGCATATAATTCCAGCTACAGGGATCCAACCTGCTTATTCTGGAACCTAGGGAACTTACATACATGTAAGCATACACTCATATACACATATGTAAAGAGAAATCTTTTTAAAAACATTCAGTTATTATGGAAATTGTATATGGCATAACATGATTGCTTTTCAAACTAAATCATGCAGTCCAACTACTTTCATTTTGCTGTGTATTTTCTGGCATATAAGCACAATTCATTTGATTATCATCATTCAATGCCTGTTGCATTGTCCTGGGGACTCATTGATGCCATTGAGAGATTCTATAGTAAGAATAACCTCTTCGTTTTTTGTTTTTTGCCTTGATATAAATTCTGGTGGATTTAGCCAAAGGAAAGTTCTACAGGACTAAGCCGAGTGTGAGACAAGATCCTGAGGCTGTGGTGAATTTGAAAATTGGTTGGTCTAAGCTGGGATGTGTTATAGAAATAATATTAATTCTGAGTTAGGAAGACTTACTGTAAAACTAAAAACATAAACCATCTCATTCACAATATCTTAGGACATAAGGTCAAAAGAGATGTAGTTCAAATAAAGGGCACAAAGCTGCAGCCAGGTAGGATAACTGACTGAACAGTCTCAGCCTGGAGATAACTGTAGGGCACTGCACACAGAAGGCCTGGGGACTTATCTGACCACAAACAGAGAAAGGAAGGTGACTGAATGGTATGCTGCTTTGCCTGACTCCAGCAGTCACTTCGCCACACATATGGAGATGAAAATAAATGCATCAAACCAGCAGGCTGTACATATACATATATATCTATGTGTGTGTGTGTGTGTGCATGTATATACACACACACACAAAAACAGGTTTGTACTTTTGTGTGTGTGTGCACGTGAGTGTGGAGGTTAGTGCACACACAGCTATTAGAAAGTTTTAAATTAAATGTGACATTATAATGAATTGAAACAGACTACAGAGACAAAAATAAATAGCAAAAAAATGCAATTTTAAGTAAGGAAGCTGGTCATAAAACGATGAATGCATTATGAAGCCGCTTACCAAATGTTTAAAACTTTGCAGAGTTACAGGGTACAACTGTGCACACACAGAACACTTACAGTCTTAAACCATGCATGAGAACAGTACCTGAACATCAGATTATTCATCTTTTTTCCCAGGCTCTCTTGATGTCTGAGCCCGTTTGCTTCTAATTCCCTTTGTCACATCCTAACCTGAATGAGGGTCAGAGCCCAGCCAGGAAGTGCTGGTTTACAGGTTTGATCTCTCCTGGTGATGCAGGGACAGCTGGACAAGCAGACATGTTTTCAAGACAGGTGGTACTGAGGTGGTCATTCCTGCCTCTTAAGGCCAGGAAGAGGCAGAGCAAGGAAACATTTCAGATACAAGGCCCATGGCCGGGCCAGGTCTTAGCCCTCAGGGACAGGTCAGCAGAAAGAAGCTCTGGATGTAGATGGTGGTCAGTGTGTGCCCAGGTCCTGCCCAGATACTCAGGTTTGTCCGGTCTGAGTTCCTTCCACTATGGCTGAGGAGGGTAATGTTCATGTTCAATGGCTGTCTCTAAAACGAAGTGAAATGACTGTGTAAGCCTTTGTCAGTGAAATAGAGTGGGGCGTACTGTGTTGCTTCAGAGCCTAGGCCTCTCTTCTAAACCTGTCTGACCAGTCTCAGCTTTGCCTCAGCCAAGATCCTGTCTTGTACTTGGTTGGCTGCAGGTATTATGACCACTTTACAGAACAGAGAGGTGACAGTTCTGTGACCTTCAGAGAGGGAGGTGTTACTGTGGGGAGCTGGGGAGATGGATCAGCAGAGACCTTGTCACTCAGTCAGACAAATCTTGGGAGCATCTTTGGTCCCTCCTGTACCAGGTCACCTCCCAGGAACCTTGCTGAGAATCTAGAACAGCAGTTCTCAACTGATGGGTCATGACCCCTTTAAGGTGGAGCAACCCTTTCACAGGGGTCACAATCAGATATCTTGCATAGAGATATTTATGATTCATACAGTAGCAAAATTGCATTTATTAAGTGGCAATGAAAATAATTTTATGGTTGGGGTCACCATAGTGTGAGGAATTGTATTAAAGGGTTGCAGCGTTAGGAAGGTTGAGAACCACTGCTCTAGAGTATTGAATGGTGACCGGGCAGGCAGGGTAGCAACTTCCCGAGGGGAAAGCTTTATTTCTTTGGGGTTTATTCAGTGTTTATAAAGACAAGAGCTTACTTCTGAAGATGCCCATAAATCACTCACCACCACTTTAATTTCCCTTTTTAAAATCTTGTTTTCTTGATAGAAATGAGCAGAGACAAAACCAACATCTTACCTGCTGTGGGAAAGCCTCCAGGTGCCAGGCTATGCCCTCTCTCACCCACCTGCCATCAGAGCAAGTGGACCCTTGGGAAAGAAGCTGTGTGCACAGTGACTCCTCTTGTCCCAGCTCCTGGAGTCTGCAGGAGACGGGCAGCTTCCTTCTTCCTCCCCGTTCCTTTTTTTCTTAGCATTTGTGTCCAGGTGGCTACCCATTTTTACATCCCACTTCAGAAAAACGTGAAAAGGGACTCCTGTGGGAAAGGCCCTGAAACTTTGACCTCAGTGTCTGCGAACAAAAGGAGTCATGTAGGAAAGCAAAAAGCCTCAGTAAGATCTCTAGCACGGGGATGTGAGACTTGCAAACCGAGTACAGATGCCTTTGCAGCTGGTTCTGCCTCGAACACTCACGGTCCTACTGTGGATAGATCCCATCTGGGAGCAAGGAGCACCAGAACCTAACCTTCAACCTCACTATCTGTCTACTGCTCCCCACAGTCTTCCTGGAGTGTCAGCAGGGCCCTGACTCTTGTAGATATTATCTTTCTCATCCCTCTGAGCTGGCAAAAAACAGAGAGGCAGAAGGGATGCAGCTGACCCCTGAGTTACAGTTTTAGGACTGGGCTGTTTTCCCTGCCCCACTTTCGTAGCTGGGGCTGGTTGGAAGGCAGTTGGGGGCCCTGGTAGTGGTATACGCAACAATGTTTTTTCTGAGATCCTTACAGGGCAGCTTGACTCTGCCTCTCACTGGAACTAGGCTGCAGTGTTGGTCTGGGATCAGCAGGAGGCCACTCACATCAGACCTCTGCAGCATCGTTTCCTGGCCCATTGGTGACTTGCTCTACTAAAGTCCTCTCTGAGGACAGGATCTGACCTAATTGTAAAATTATCACGGGAGCATCTCAAGAGGAACTACTCCTGCAGCAGTGATCTGGGCCAGGCAGTCATGATGCTGATGTACTCCTTGACATTGTGACCAAGGGCCCCAGAGGGCTGAAAGTCGAAGACACTCAGTCCATGGGGAACATCCTGCCCGGAGAACAGGGGATGGTGTCAGGCCTGCAGAACCCCGCCCGTAACTGCCAACAGTGCCTCATCAGTCACTCCACTACCACCTTTTCTGGGGAGCATCAAGCAGGTGTGACCTCTACACACCATGGGCTCCAACTTTCTCGCTCATGTATTCATTCTTCAGCAAATGTTTGCCGGGGACCTACTGTGTGGTGGCTGCTTTGCTGATGGGATTCACACGAGAGTGGACGGCAAATATCATGAGGTGACAATGCTTGTGGTGGGGTTGGGACAGACACTGTGGGGAACCGAGGCAGCGCAGGAAGGGTGAGGAAGCCTTTTTTGGCGGGGAGGGCTGACACACACACAGGTCAGCACCTGATACAGATCCACACAAGAGATATCAAGAGCGAAGGGGATGCGAAGGTCTTAGTGAGGCTGAGAGAGGAAGCTGTCTTTCAAGAGGTTGAAGGGCAGAAGGCAACTTGGTGAACTGAGAGCTGAATGACGTAGGCTTGAGCTGCAGTGCAGAATTATTGGAGGATTTTAAACAGGAGGACATAGCCCGATTTGCATATTAAGAAAACGATTGCCCAGCTGCTGGGTGAAGCTGCCTTTCAAAAGCACAAAAATAGAAGTAGGAAGACCGGCTAGGAGGGCATCACAACAATCCAGACAGGGAATAATCACTGTTATTATCCGCATTTCTCAGGGGAGCTCACAGCAGGTAGCAGGCTGCGCTTTCATTTGCATAGTGAATCAGCACGGAAGCCTTGCTCCTGTCATCTCATCGGATCTTCAGAGCAGCCCTGGATCGGGTTAGCTAGCACTGGTTCCTAGGCTAAAATCAGTCTCCAAAACAATGGTCCTAGGTAAGAGAAGGCCTTGTTGGGAACTGGGAGCCTGGCTTACCCCTAGGCCTCCTGACCTATCTGAGCTCTGTCTACTTCCTGAACTCCCCCCAGGCAGAGTTCCCCTGGTCAGAAGGAGTAAGTGGAGCGGCCAAACTAGGTAGTGGAGGCCCAGAATCCTGCTGACCAGAGCCTAAGGGGCCTGGGAGGAGCCTGGGTGCTAGGCCCTGCTAGAACAGAACCATATGGCGAACACAGCACATAAGATGTGCTTTGGCTTCCAAGCGCCTAAAATCTAGTCAGAAACAAATGGAAGGCTTCAATAAATAATTTAAGAGTGTGCAGCAGATTAAAAGGCTTATATACAAATAAATAACTTTAGGAGGAAGCTAGGTCTTTTCCTAGGGACAAATGGCCCTGAGTACTATTTTGAAAGCAGTGTTTTCACTTGGACCTTGATGGTCTCCTGGGGCAGTTACTGGCCTGCTTAGCAAGGTCACTCACATCATTTGATCCACACTATACTGAAGCAGTCCTTACCCAGTGCCCCCATTTTGCCCAGCAAACTCCCCCCATACTCAGTGTCTAATACAATCGCTGCTTTGTTGACCTCATGAATTCTGTGCCTCTGGAATGTGGAAGGTCAGACTGGGGATGGCTGGGCTCTGACTCAGCATGCCTAAGCCTCAGTTTTGAACTCCACTGGCTAAGTGCCAGAACCTGGGACCCTTTGACAGTTATGTGGCAGGCAATCTGGCTGGGGAGGTGCCAAAGCTGAACTGAATGGGGCTGCTATTCAGTATGTTTCAGTGGGGTCTCTCCATGGGCCAGGGGCCTTCTCACATCATCGGGGCTCCAAGAAGTCTTGCTTCAGCCATGCAAATCAGAGGTCCCACTGTGAGGGCTACAGGGAAGACAAGCCACTTGGCTTTTGTGTCCCACCTGAAGGTGCCTCTACCCTAGTCACCAAGGCACAGCATTGCCCAGGGTCACTTGTGTATGTGAACCCACACCAGGTGGGTTCCAGGGTCCTGCCGCATACTGGAGAGAACATCAATACTCAGCAAGTGAAAGCCACTTTAGTGTGCTACATAGTTTATAGCTGTAAACCAAGGGCAGCAAACACATATTTTGATATGAAATAAAGAATCTGAGCACAGAATTGTGCTGTGGTATAATAATAAAATGCTGATATTTAGCCCATGGACCAGGACACAGAAGTACTTACTATTTATTACCTTGCAGGAGGGGATGGAGAAGAGGACCCAGCTCCCAAGTGTGCAACATGAGCAGAGACTGCTGTGAAGACAAAGGAATGAACACCAGTTGAGATTCCTGGCCAAGGAGCATCAGTGAAGATGGTTTCTGGAAGGTTCGTTTTCATCAGGTTTTAAAAGAGGAAAAAAAAAATGTTTACTTTACACGAATGCTGCCTTTAAATAATCTCTTCTCATCAAAGCTTATGTTTGGAAGTACTTAGTGGGAATTAATAGTAACTATGTGCTTGAGATAAAAATAGAGGGTGGAGAGAGGGGGGAGAGGGGAGGGAGAGAGAGCATGTGAGAGAGAGAGGGAGGGAGGAAGAGAGAGAGAATGCTGAAAGAAGAATAAAAGAGAGAACTCTAGAAGAGGAAACATCAGAGTGTCCATGTGAGAAATACCAAGGAAAGTGCTCTTTGACTGTCTAATGCTCCAGTGGGTCCCCAAGGCCATCACCTTCAAGATTGATGCAAGCAAGTTTCCGTTGGTTTCAGAGTGTGTGACAGAGGAATAAATTCCTGTCAGAGGAACGATGTGATGTGTGTATGCACCTGTCTTGGTTTATAGTGATGTGATAAAACACTGGCCAAAAGCAGCTGGGGAGGAAAGGACTTATTTGACTTACATATCCCAGGTCATAGTCCATTGAGGGGCTATGGCCAAGGCCGGAACCTGGAGGCAGGAACTGAGGCAGAACCATGAAGGAGCACTGCTTACTGGCTTGCTCAGCCTGCTTTCATATATCACCCAGGACACCTGCCCAGTGGTGGCACCACTCACAGGGACCTGAGCATTTCCACATTAATCGTTAATTTTTAAAAATGCCCTACAGACTTGCCTACAGGCAATGTAATGGACATATTTTCTCCACTGAGATTTCTCTTCTCAGATATGTATAGGTTTGTGTCAAGTTTAAAAAACCAGCCAATACCTAAAGAAAGAACAATTTACATTGATTTGACTCTCTCTCATTGTTTTAAAGTGTTTTATGAGACACAACTCATCTAATATGAAATCCACCCATCTAAAGTACAAATTGGTTTTGGTTGGTATAATCACAGCAGTGTAACCACCAGTACATTTTAAATTAGATGCTCTGGACACACTAGCTAGCTAGACTACACAAATCAGCAAGTTCTGGTTCGCAAGATACCCTGATTCAGTAAACTAAGAGGAGAATTATTGAAGAAGACACCCAAAGTCAGTCTATGGCTTCCACATGCAGGAGCATATCTGTGCCCTCATATACCCACATACATTTGAACATGTATGCATGCACCACAAGCGGAAGGGGGCGGAAGGGGAGAGGGAGAAGCGAGGGAAGAAAAGCTCCATCCCATTTAGTAGTCACCCCTATTACTCTTACCACGTTGGGGGCCCAGTAGCCTAAGTGGCAGGAGTCCCTGAGTAGCCTCATACTTTTAGCATGGAGCAGTAAGGATGTAATCTTCCCCACTGGGGCCAGTGCAAACCCAGGCAGCTCAGCGGCTCCCCCCAGTTAGGCTGTGAGTTCTGACCCTCAGCTTGGGGTGAGGAGTCAGGAAGTTGACCCTGTTCTGAGAATGTTTCTTCACCTTCCTGGGTGTTCTTCACAGTTGCCATGAAGACATTGAGCAACACAGTCCCAACAGTGCTTCTCGGGTCTAAATTCCTTGAATTTTGTCTTGCCTGATGTCTTCTTGTCAGGCCTGCCCAGGGCATGCTTCTGAAGGTGCCCTTTTCTTGTGTCTGTCAGTACAGCTGGTGTCATTTCCTGCCACGTGTCCTGTAAACCTCAGGGTCTGAGCCAAGTGTGGAGAAAGGGGAAATAAGGGAGGCCATGGCAAGCTGGGAGGGACAAACCCTTGGCTTTCTTCCTTCCCATAGACTGGTGTAGTTCAGGAAACCTCGCCTGTGTTAAGAGAAGCTTTATCTTGCTAGCCGCTTTGGTTTATCACCCGCCAGTCGCATGGGCTCTGCCACATTGTAGTCCCCAAATAAACACACAGGAGGCTATATTAATTATGAAGCTGTTGGCCTTGCTTGTCTCTTACTGGCTAGCTCTCCTTAAGTAATTACCCCATAATTGTTAATCTAAGTATGTCTCTTACCGGATAATAGTTCTGGGCTTCCTACCCCATGGCGTCACATGTCGACTCTCTTGTGTTTCTCCTTCCCAGAGTCCTCCTGGACTCCTAGTCCCTCCTATCTAGGTTTCCTATTGGCTCAACAGTACTTTATTGACAAATGCACAGGACTTCCCCCAACACGCCTGCTTCCCTACCAGCCTGTGATGTGGCCATAGGCCTCTTTGTGGAGTCAGCTTTGCCTGGATCCCCTCTGTTCCACCACCACCTGCTCTGATGTCCAAGCTTTGGGATGGCATAAAGATGTCCCAGGAGTAGCCTCAGGATAAAATGGAGGAGCCTGTCAGAAAGCAGCCATCCAGCGATGCACAGGTCCATTGAATATCTTGCTACTTCAATGAGCTGATGGGAAACACACACATGCTCAAGTACACACACGGGGATGGGGTGAGGGAAGAGAACACCTTGGTTATTCACTATCAGCTCTACCCCTTGAGGAGCCCACCCTCAATGTTTCCTTATCCCTTCTCTCATCCCACATGTATAGTCTTCAAAGTGTAAGTCTGACTGTGTAGGTTTCCTCTCTGGAATCCTCCACTGGTCAATAAAACTCCAACTCCTCGACTGAGTCCAGAGACCCTGCCTGGCTCTTCCACACTGACTTTGCTGGATCCCAAGCAGGGGTTTGGGCACTTCAGCATGTTCTGTACACACAAACCCTGGCGAATCTCAGAAGGTGGTGACTCCATCAGGGTCTACAAAGAGATGATCAGGTTAGCATGACACTGTGAGTGTGTCTGGCTCCATGTAACTGGGTTCCTTGTAAGAGAAGATCAGGACATAAACCTATGTGGCTAGGAAAGACATCATCTGCAAGCCCAGGGGAGGGGGCCTCAGGAGGTGCCAACCTGATGACATCTCTGCTCTGACTTCAGCCCACAGTATGAGGCATGAACTTCATCTGTGGCTTTAGTCATAGTCTGGGGCTGAGAGGGACACCTCCTCACTGCCTGCCTCTGCTTAGACTTCCTACCCAACTCCTAGACATCTCAACCTTGGCCAGAATCCTAAGGTCAGTTTTTTTCTCTTGTAGAAATTCTCTAATGAACTCTGGATTGGGCCATGGATTGCTTCCATGGATACCCATGTGTCTAGTGGGTGTCATGGATGCAGGCTTCTACCTGGAAGGATTGGGGGGGCAAAATTTCTTCCTTTCTCCTCTCCCACCTTCCAAGTGTTGCCCAGTGGCTATACCTCCCATCACAAGGGATCCAGAGGGGCCAGATCCCATTTCGCCTGTCATAGCTCCCTGATGGTCTAAGGTCTCAGGTGCACCTGACATTCCTAGAGACCAACAGTTCACCATAGATGTCAGGCTTGCCTGTCCCCAGAACCCAGGTCGGTGTGCTGACATGAGAAGGCAGTCTCTACCCTGCCACTTCCTGACAGTCCAGCTTTGCTTCATAAACAAAACAGGCCACTTTTTGGCTAAGATGGATCATTTAAAACAGTCATTTGTAATGACAACATATTACATCACTTTTTTCAAAGATAATCTTAAAAGGAGTGATATTTCCAGAATATCTGTGTCAACCAGGGTATGCTGTTGGGCACACAGGAGGTGGGTGTCTTCCGGTCAGAGAGTAGCTTCCCTAAGCAGAAGCAGGCATAAGATCTGCCCTCCAGGTTGTTCAGTGGAGTTGAGGTCTGGTCATTGCCATCCAGGTGATGTCTGTGACTTTGTGAGCTCAAGGACCAGAACATAGATTGCTGGTGGCAAGGCAGGTAGCATTGGGGTGGAGGAAAATATAGAATTTGGGGCTTAGAAAATGAATCTGTCCCTGTAGGTTGCTGGGAGTCACCACAGCTTTTTAGGTAAAGAGTGACCTGATAATATTGATTTGCTCTTCCAGGTCCAGGCAGGAACTTTGACTGGAATAAAAACAATGTCACTCATGCCAAGGTTCCATGTCACAAAAAGAATATGAGCTGTGGTCAGACCTTCCAAGAAAATAGGAGAAATGAGAAACAGCAGCCAAGTTTCACATGCAGGCCAGTTCCAGTTGGCAAGACACTGAAGCCCTCTCCCCCTGATGCTACACAGAGAAGGCAGCCTAAAGAAACTCGAAGCTAATCCTCAGTTTTCTATTGTTCAGCCGCCCAGTCTGCACCTTAGAAGGAATGTTCGTTTGAAATGACCTCTCAGCTTTTTGTTCATTGTTTTACTTTTTTCTGTAGCTCTATTCTTGTTGGGACATGGTGGTGCATGCCTGAACCTCAGTTCTTGGGAGATGGAAGCAGGAGGATCAATAGCTCAAAGTCTTCCTTGGTTACATAGCAAGTTATGAGCCATCCTGAACTATGTGAGAATCTCTATCAAAAATTCAAAGTATGCAGGTGGTGATGGTGCATGCCTTAATCCCAGTACTCAGGAGGCAGAGGCAGGTGGATCTTTGAGTTAGAGGCCAGCCTGATCTATAGAACAAGTTCCAGGACAGCCAGGGCTACACAGAGAAACCCTGTCTTGAAAAACCAAAAAACAAATCAAAGTGTTAGTTTATTAATTTAAAAACAAAGCAAAACCCTGACCTCTTCAGAGACTCTTCCTCTGTGGCATGGATGCTCACTCTACTCTAAGATTTGAATTGTAGTTCTGTCTTCTGGTGCTCATTTTACCTAGCCAACCCTTCAGTGGGAATTTTGATTCAAACAATGGTCAACTGTTGCCTAAACCTAACCTAACCCTAATTCTTTTAACTTTCAGACCCTCCCACTAGGCCTCTGCCCCTTCACCTACAGGTTCCATGTTGTAGTCAAGGGAGATGAGGCTTCCTATGCAGCTGACCTCTCTGAGGCTGTCTGTGCCTCAGTCCCCAAGCAAAACCTGCAGCAGGTACCTGCCAACAAGCCTCACTGCAAAGAGAACAGCTGTGAAGGAGAGAGGATGAAAAAGCATGCTTGGAGGCAAAGAATATTATTCAAGGCAGTAAGAATATGCAGGAGGCAAAGAAAATCAAAGGTGTTCCCATATCTGTGGGCATATCCTCCTATAGGCCACACCTCCCACAGGACACAATCTCCCATAGGCCACACCCTCCCATAGGCCACACCTTCTACAAGACATACCCTCCCATAAGCCACACCTCCCACATGACACACCCTCCCATAGGACACTCCTCACACAGGACACACCTCCCATAGGACACACATTCCCATAGGGTACACCTCCCTCAGGACACACCCTCCTCCAGGACATAATCTCCCATAGACCACACCCTCCCACAGGACACACTCTCCCACAGGTCACACCCCAAAGGACACACTTCCCAAAGGACACACTTCCCAAAGGACACACTTCCCATAGGACACATCTTCCCATAGGACACACCCCACAGGACACTCCCTTCCATAGGCTACACCTTCCACAAGACATACCTCACAGGACACACCCTCCCTCCCATAAGCCACACCTCCCACAGGAACAACCAGAGCAGGGGATGTGCTGAGCTAAGGTGTTCAGCAGGACTCAGCACAAGGACATGTGAAGGGAGAAGGTGCCAAGTGTACTTCTAAGTCTTAGGAGGAAGACCAGAGAGTTCTAGACTATTAGAGGAAAGAAAAAAAACGCATGAATATGATATGCTTTCCTCTTAGTTTTTTTTTTTTAACTTTTTAAAGTAATGTTCTATAGTTTTCTGTATGGAGGTTTGTACATCTTGGGCCCCAAACTGTAGCAAGGTGAGTTGACGAGTAGAGTATTGATCCCAAACACACAGCAGCTAGCTTCAAACCTTCTCCACCCTGAGCAGGTAGAGGTGATCTTTCTGGTCTAATGTTGCAGAACTGTAGCTCCAGCTATGGAAGGCAATCTATTAAGATTTAACTGCAAGGTTAGTTTCATGTTGGAAGTTATCAAAGGAAGTAAATGGTAAAATCATCTTGTGGTAGTTTGAATGTAATTGGCTTCCATAATCTCACAGGGCGGGGCACTGTTAGGAGGTGTGGCTTTGTTGGAGTGGGTGTGGCCTTGTTGGAAGAAGTGTGTCACTGTAGGGGTGGGCTTTGAGGTTTGATTTACTCAGGAGACTACCCAGTATGTCAGTCAGTTTCCTGTTACCTGCAAGATGTAGGACACTCTGCTATTTCTTCAGCACCATGCCTGCCTGCATGCTGCCATGTTCCCTGCCACGGTAGACTGAGCCTCTGAACTGTAAGTGAGTCACCACAATTAAATGTTTTCCTTTATAAGAGTTGCCATAGTCATGGTGTCTCTTCATAGTGATAGTAAACCCCAACTAAGACACATCTCAACAGAAGCAAAATAATTTATGAAATAACTCTTAATTGTAAGAGGAACTTAAGTTAGAGATAGAACAGAACTTTAGCTTATTAAAGCTGCAATAGGACTGGAGAGATGACTCATGCTGTTAAGAGTGCTTGCTGCTCTTCCCGAGTGCCTGAATTAGGTTCCCAGCACATGTGTCAGTGTGCTCACAAGTGCCTGTGACTCTAGGGGGATCTGATGACCATTTCTGGCTTCCACTCATAATACACACACACACACACACACACACACACACACACACACTCACTGATTAAAAAAAATACAACAAATCTTTTATTAAGTGGCAAAAGTGATTTCTCCCTGAAGTTGAGGAGACAGATGTGTTCAAAAGTCCAGTGAAACAAAGAATATAAAAAAATATATAAATGTATTAAGAGTTACTAAGGGATCAATAAAACAATTGTAATTCCCAAATGATGTGTGTGTGTGTAAACTCCACATTAATCTATACACACCAATTACTGAAATTAATTCATTGATTTAACAACCCTTCTAGGTACTATGTGAGATACCAAAGACAGTGGCATCCATGCTGCAGCGCCCACGAAACTCTCACCTGTGATTCAAATGTAGCTGCTTTGAGTCATCCACATCTCTTTCCTGGAAAGGGAAGAAACAGTCATGGCTCCTAGATGGAGCTCCTGTGGAAATGATTGTACCAAGAAACAACGTCTTCTTCCAAGCTCAGCGGGTGCAATAGGCTGTGAACTATCCCAGGTTTTGTGAATTTGGAAAGATGAGAGAGGTTTCACCCATTTTAGAGAATATAAATCACAGTCTGAACTGGGGAATGCTGTGGGACTTACCGTACTGGATCTCACCGTGTAGCCCTGGCTGGCTTGGAAACTGCTATATGGAACAGGCTGGCCTCAAACTCACTAAGATCTGCCTGTCTCTTCCTCTCCAGTGCTGATATTAAAGAGGTTTGTCACCACAGCCAGCCTTTAATGTATAGTTTTTTTAAATTTCATACTGATGAAGTTATTGTGTAAGTATACATTTTTCAAAGAACTGCATTAAGGAGACTAGAATAAAATATAAATCTACTAATTCTGATAATTATAAAAAACATTAATGTATCCATTTAATGATTTACTACTAAAGTGGATATTAGTTATTTGCTAGGAAGACTGGCTTTACTGGGTTTTGGGACAGAGGGAGATACAAGCATTTTTCTTTCTTTTCTCAATTGTAAGCTCCAAATTCAGTTTGCTTTCTGAGCAGAGAGGAGGTGAATCTCTAGAGCTCACAGGATGTCTTTGTTTGGCTGTGGTGCTACATATTCAGAGGTGAGAGAGAAGAGAGGGAGAGAGAGAGAGAGAGAGAGAGAGAGAGAGAGAGAGAGAGAGAGAGAGAGAGAGAGAGAGAGAGAGAGAGAGACTGGAGTTGTCTTTCCTCCTCAAGTTCCACCTCTCTTTGTTGTCACACACCCACGCCCCCACACACCCCTCAAACCCTCAAATCCCAGTCCTGGTCCGGCTTTCCTTGAAACAGGGTCTCTCCTTTAATCTGAAGGTCATTGATTCAGTTAGGTGGGCAGGTCAATGAGCTTAAGGAATCCTCCTGTCTCTGTGTCTTATCCCCGTCCCACTGATGTGGTTAAAGCATGTGCCAACCCACCTGGATTGCAAGCATGGGTTCTAGGGGCCTGAATTCAGGTCTCCAAGCTCGCATACAAGCACTTCATTGACTGAGCAGTCTCCTCAACCCACATACTCAGTTTTGGTAAATGGCATGTGTGTTGTTGCAGATGATACTCATTGAATGGTATTCGAGCAACCCCTGAGCTGTAGGAATGGCTGTTCTTCTTCCCCTGGTGGAGAGCAATATTCCTGCTTTCCTTCTCTCTCTGTCACAGCACACGTCACATTTTATACACATACTAATTTTACATGGTACATATCCCCAACAGATTCCAATGTGAATAAATCATGTCTTCATAGCTAAAAGAACAAAATGCACAAGGACAATTGTTATTTTTAAATAACACCAACAAACCATTATTAAATGAAGTTGAAAAGCTATTTCTCTTTAAATTGAAATTGCGTATTATTTTGCGTGCTGTGTGTGGAGGTCATAGGACAACTTTTAGGAGTCAGCTCTCTTCTTCCAGAGCTCCCAGGATTGAACTCCATTAGTCAGGCTTGCATGGGGAGCACTTTTACTTGCTGAGCTATCTTGCTGGTCCCAAAGTAATTTTACTTAGTTCAAACAGCTGAGAATAAATCAAACAAAAGATGTGTTAAAAAAATCTGCAAGGAATCTATGAAACATCCCCGAGATACTGAAAAACTAAATAAACAGAAGAAACCCTTCTATTTATGGGTCAGTTACTGCTTCCTCCAAAGTGATCCGAGCAGATTTAATGAACTACTAATCCATATCCCAGCAGGATTTCTTGTAGAAAGTGACATGCTGGTTCTATAATTTATACAGAGGTGTAAAAGGACAAGAACTGCTAAGAAAAACGTACAGACAAATTGGAGTGCCTTCACTAGGAGATAGCAGGACTTACAAAGCAGCTGTAATTAAGGCCATATAATACTGCAGCAAGAATATGCAGATGGAAAATTAAAAATATATAATGTTGAGCCTATTAGGTATCCAGAAGATATGAAAATTATAAGAAAAATAATAATTTAAAAATAATTGCCATTTTACTTACATGAATGGTGTGTGTGTGTGTGTGTGTGTGTGTGTGTGTGTGTGTGTGTGTGTGTGATGTATGCGAGAGTGCCTACAGAAGCCAGTAAAGAGTGTAAGACCCTGGAACTGGAGTTAGACAACTGTGAGATGCCTGATATGGGTGTTAGGAAACGAACTTGGATTCTCTGTGAGGACAGTGGACATCGCTAACCACTGTGCCATCTCCCCAGCCTCCTAAGAACTGTTTTTTTCCAATGGAGTGGTGAGGCTAGCCCTGAACTCTGAGGCTGCAAACATCTTTTTGCCTTAGTCTTCTGTGATGGGGCTGGAGGCCACAGGTGCACCACCACTCCTAGCACGCGCAATAATCTAGGCCTTTGTCAGTCACACAAAGCAGTCTCAGGGAATGGGAGATCAAATGTGAAGATGAAGATGCAGGCTCACAGAGCGCATGGCTGGCGAACATCCCGTGTGGCCGAGGGGAGCTCAGCAGACAAAGGGGAAGATGGATACACTGGCCAGCATTAAAATGTAGAGTTTCTATTCACCAAGACCCTCCGCCGAAAGAATGAAGGGATGTCTGCCCCAGCAGCAGAGGACACAAAGGACTCCTACAGACAGATATGAAAAGGACAGACAGCCTTGAGGCAGCCACATGAGATCTGAGCAAGGGCTCGGGAAAGCAGCTGTTTCAATGGCTAATGAACAGCCATTATGGAAATTCAGGTCAAGGCCCCAGTGAGATGCCTCACCAGCATTGAGCAGGACTGCGGAAAAGGAGAGCGAACCTGGCAAGCAAGGTGGCAGTGTTGGGACTCACCCAGCTACTGCTGGGTGTCTGGGTGTCAGCCCTGCTGGATGGCCAATGCCTGGCTCACTCACCCCACAGTTCTAGTCTCAGATCTGCCTGCCCTTCCTCACCGTCACAACAAAAGGCTTCCCGTAGTAGCTCAAACCCAGGCACCACCCGAGTGTCCTTCTGCAGCAGAACACATGGATGCACTCTGCTGGGTTCACACAATTGACCCTAAGCAGTTGTGAATATACTGTAACTCAAAGACACAGATGAACAAAAGATGCCAGCAGCAAGAGCACTGCTGCGAGGCTTCCTTCCTATGAAGGCAAGCCCTACTCATGGCTATGGAAATGAGACTGAAGGCGCACCCCGAGGAAGAAGGGGCCCTAGGCAGGGCGTGCTGCTTCCTGTGAGCATCAGTGTTGTGACCTAAACTGTGTGCTCACTGAGGAAATGCCCATGGCTGCAAACTTACAGTGGAAAATGTTATGTTGTGCTAGCCATGTGCTGACACTGATAAAGATTATTATCATTTAAAGAGACAGCTGGGGAGATGGGTCCCTGTAAAAAAGCGCTTGCCATACAAAACTGGCAACTTGGATATGATCCCTGGGTCCCATGGTGGAAGGAGAGAACCTATATCAAAAGGTTGTCTTCTTCAGTAATAGTGGAGAGGCTACCTGAAATGCCCTTCCCTGATAATGAGTTTGACGACTACCTTATATGCCATCCTAGAACCTTCATCCAGTGGCTGATGGAAGCAGAGGCAGACACCCACAGCTAAACACTGAACTGAACTTCTGGAACCCAGTTGCAGAGAGGGGGGAGTGATGAGCAAAGGGGTCAAGACCGGCCTGGTGAAACCCACAGAAACAGCTGACCTGAACAAGGGGGAGCTCTTGGACCCCAAACTGATGGCTGAGAGACCAGCATGGGACTGATCCAGACTCCCTAAATTCGGGTGTCAGCGAGGAGGCTTCGGCAATCTATGGGGCCTTGAGTATTTATCCCTAGCATACAAATGGACTTTGGGAGCCCATTCCACATGGAGGGGTGCTCTCTCAGCCTGGACACATGGGGGAGGGCCTAGGCCCTGTCCTGGATGAAATGGTAGACTCTGGAGATCCCCCATGGAGGGCTTCACCCTTCCTGGGGAGAGGAGTGGGGATTGGGTGGTTGGTTGGTGGGGACAGGGGAAGAGTGGAGGGAGAGGGAGCTGGGATCAACATATGAAGCAAGCTTGTTTCTAATTTAAATAAAAAAAAGATAAACTGGGTGTGGGCCTTTAATCCCAGAACTCAGAAGGCAGAGAGGCAGGTGGATCTCTGTGAGTTCGAGGCCAGCCTGGTTTACATAGCAAGTTCTAGGACAGCCTCCAAAACAATACAGAGAAACCCTGTCTTGAAAAACAAACAAACAAAAAAGATAAAAAGGTTGTCTTCTTACTGTCACATAGATGCTATGTATGTCAAGCACCCCCACCCACGTACACATCATATACACACAACAAAAAAATTAAAAATTAAAAAAAATTAAAGGAATGAATGAGTTGGGTAGGTACCTTTCAGCATTTCTGAGGAGGGGTCGGGCTGGGATTCGCCATTTGTTTATCTTCAGACATCTCTTCTTTGGCAGAGCACAGTGTGGCTGGCACTAGTAGCCCTGTTCATAGCGCATTCGCACAGCACACCTCATGCAGTTCTCATGCCAGGTCCTCAAAGCTCTCGCCTTTCACCTATCTGCCTGACTGTGCCTTTCCTACTCCCAACCTGCCCTCCAGGGGCGACTTTCCCTTGACCTCACAAACCTGAACATGGTTCTGTCTTTAGAGTCCCTACATCACCAGAGAAGAAAGGGGAACAATACAGCACTTATAAACATCCTTCAGAGGTTGCAGGGGTCGCACGAAACTGATAGATTTTTGTTTTGTTTTTTTCAAGACGGGGTTTCTCTGTGTAGCTTTGGAGCCTGTCCTGGCACTCACTGTGTAGACTGGGCTGGCCTTGAACTCACAGAGATCCACCTGTTGAATACTTTTTAAGGCATCTAGAAATCTAAATATGTAAACCCAGAACTTCTTTTTAGAAGTAGGAGACTGCAATATACATGCGAGCAGACACAAGAAAACACAGACATGTACAGACACACATGAAAGCTTGCATACACACACACCCCCAAGACAGATTGACTGAAATTATTATGTGTTTTATATTTTCACATTCAATAAGCTCTTTTTCTTAATCCCTCCTTCTTCCTCCCCACTACTCATGTGCAAAACATAATAACAGTGTGGATAACTTTATTTAAAAACACAACTGGGTGTCTAAATGTGTCAGCTCAGGCCAGGCCAGACCAGCGACGTTTCTTCCCTCCTCTGCCCTGTCAGGGCCTCAGCAGCCATATGAAGGGTCTTATTTCAAGGCTGGGGTTTCCTGCAGGCTGTCTGTCCCCTCTGTCCTACAAGACAAACTCCTTGCCCAGGCCTGGCCCCGGGAAGGACAATGACAGGGCAGCAGGATCTGCAGATGCTGGTGTGGGCTCTTGGGCTGCCTGGCAGTGGCAGGAAGCTAGAGTAGGGCTCTGAGCAGGGGATTCCTGCTTATCCTTTCTCTCTTCCTGCTGGGTCCAAATGCCCCCAGGCAGCTGTGCTGGAGGGCACTGGCCTTGTCTCATCTTTCCTTTCCGTTGGTTCACTGTGGAGTCTGCAGGTTTCCACCGGAGACTTGAGAGACATGAACACCGGTCCTGTGAAGTTGGGTGGAGGTGTGCTTCCCATCTCGGAGCTCAGCTCACATTTGGAAAACCTGAAAAGGGCAGACCCACATTCCTTTTAGGTGAGATAGCGAGTTCCACATGGTGAAAACAATTTGAAATGAAATGTGTTAGAATGCTTTGGAAATGACGGTGCTTGGAGGAATGCAGGGATGAGAGGAGATAGTGTCTGCTCCAGGTACTGTCTGGGACATTTTAAAAACACGAGGCAAACGTCTCTCTGGGGGCTTGTGGAGAATGCCCCTATCCTTTCCTCCCTCTGCTGATCGATAATGGATGATGGTGCCTGCCTCCTGGGCTTCCCAGACCTGACCCCCACTTTGACCTGGGCCTGCACCAGGCAGACTTCATTCCTGGCCGCCACTGCCTATCCATGCTTGGTCTCATGGGTAAGGAGTGGGGGCGCTACATCATCTCTGCTTATCTCTAAATAAGTCCCACATGGTGGGAGGAGAGGACCAACTTCTCCACGAGTCCTCTGACTTCACATCCATGCCTTAGCACATGCTCATGCTTGTGTGCAGGCACAAGTGTGTGCATACACACACACACACAATTAATAATAATGATAAATAAATTTAAAACTTACAGAAGCATAGGCCTTCTCTGCAAATATGAAACAGAATTGAGACAACTGCCTTGGCAGGCAATGAAAGCCAGCTGCTCTATTCCCCTAAAATCATCACAGACCACCGTTCTCTTCTCATGTCCTAGGGCCCCAGTCAACCTCCCTGCTCCCCCTACAATCCCTCTGGGAGCAGCATGGGTGTGCTGCCTGTGCGAGTCCAACAGATGAGACTCAGTTCTGCATGGAGAGAAACTGAGTAGGGAAGTTGACAATTGAACAATGACAACGCTGTGAATGCATACAATACAATGGGACTCTGGGAAAGTGATAGGGGAAGGGGTGTGTGACAGTGGTCTACTAACCTGTCATGTCCCAGAGAGACCAAATGCTACCCAGAAGAGGGCTTTGCCATTTCTTGTATTCCCACACTTAGTGAAACGGCCCTTGCTAGAGAGAAAACTACATTCAACAGTGTTTACCTGTGGTCTCAGGGTTATGAGAGGACTGACCGTCTCTAGGTTGTAGTGATGCAGCTGTGGAAGCGTCACAGCGCAGTGTGCTGTCACACTGCGGGGGTTGGGGGGATGCTGCCAGGAGGAAACATGCCTGCCTGCTGGACAGCATGCTCACCGCTCCATCTGGTACCTTTCCTTGACGGCGTAGCAGACAGATGCCACTGGCTTATGCATGTAGCATCCTCTCCATCTTGAGCACGAACTCCAGCATATAAAAACAAGTTTACTGGAAACAGCTTGCAATGTCACACCAGCAGAGGTCTCGGACCTCTTCCCATGCCTCCTGATGTACCCAGAGGCCCGACCAATGATCTCTACCTGCCTTGTCCAGGTGTGTGAGTCACTCCAGGGTAGACACATGGTAATGAGTATCTCAGAAATTCTCACTGTTGTCAAATGACACAAAGCTGTAATGGACACCAAGTGTCACAAGACCAAAGCTGCAAGCAGGGGAGAGCTTGTGACATCAGCGAGCCAATCTATGGGGACAGGTGATCACTGAGCCTTGTTTTGACACCTGTCCTGTGAGGTCACACTGCTTGCTCTCTGCTCAGTCTTTTTCTCCACTGCCAGCTCTTGTCTGTGAGGGTATTGGGAACTGTGAGTTCCATGGATAGAGAAATGTCATTCATGACAAAGCAGAGATTTTTCCTTCAGAACATTTCAGGCAGGCTACTTGACCCCCTCCCCTGTTGCCATAAAAACTGTTGAAGTTCTAGATTAAACACACAGATTGACTCCTTTACAAGAGCAAACATCTGAAGAAGCAGCAGGGAAACTGGGACTTAAGGGAGAGCTGGCCTGGCTGCCAAGCCCTCTGCTGGACTAGGCACAACAGGGACCAGGGCCAGAAGTCAAGACCTGCGCTGACCCTAGCAGGGGCACAGGAGACACCCCGCAGGAGTGTGACTCCAGCTCTTCCGAAGCTGTGTCTGCCAGATGACACACCCATAAAAACCCGTCACCATTGCCCAGGGAACGCAGGAAACCCAGAAACAGATGTGCCCTGAGTTGCCCGGGCAGGTGAGGCCTGAAGCCTAGGGAATTAGCCACAATGGCCTTGTGGATCAATGTTACTTTGGCACATACTGTGAATAGTGGGCACCCATGTAAAAGAGTGAAAATAACCAAGTAAGGCAAAACATACACACAGCAACCATAGAGACAGCCAGAGCAATTATGCCTAGTTAAATATTGGAGTTGACAAAGATGGTCAAGCAACAATTCTCAGTACGTTTAAAGAAGTAAAGCAGGTTGGGAAGTAGCTTTTGGTGTCAGAATCTATAAAGAGATTCAACATATTTTTAAAAGAGTGAATAGGATTTTTGCAGATAAAAGTTAGTGTCTAAGAGTTAAAGTCACTTTGGACACAGAAGAACTCGCTCTAGGTACATGGGGGGCTGTTGTATGTCATACAACATTTTTCCCTCAGTGTCTTTCTGAAACCACCTTGTGGGGCCTCCTTTGGATGGAGAAAGCCATTCCTGTGCATGACTCATGGCACAGAGTCCGTAGCTAGACCCATGACTTGCCATGTGCCTGAGTTCTCTCCAGCCTAGAGAGGGCTCTGTAGGTCCAGACCAACGATACCACCTCAGTCTGGGATATGCTGCCATGACCTTGATTCAGTAACTGAGCAGGAATTCTGGAGTACAGGGATTCTGGAATGGAGAGTGGTTTGTCTCACAGTGCTCAGCACAACACTAGGCCACCTCTCTTTGGACGTCTCTGCAGATCAGAATGTACAGTAGCACTGAGGTTGGTTGTCTCAGCCCTATGGAATCCTTCAGTCAGTTAAAGGACTTCACTCAGTCCTTTAAACACAGAGTTCCCCAAAGCCTTTGAGATCCCAAGCATCATCTTGAGTGATGTCCTTGGTGACCTGAGAATGGCCTATGATTCCAGTTCTAGGAGATCTATTCTTCCAACCTCAGTAGACACCAGGTATAAATATGGTACATATACATGCATGCATACAGATACTCATAAAATACTTTAAAAAGTCGCACACATTAGCTGCATCCCACAATCTTTGATGTGGTTCTAATGTGCATGGTAGGCCTTCCCTGATCTCATTTAACATTTGTGATGCAGAGGCTATTATTTTATTGCTTATCACTCATGGCACTGGCCCTATGTCTTGCATCAAGTGGTTCCACAAAATATCACAGAAATCCATGAAGGATGATATTCTGTATTTAAGAGAATGTGCTCACTGGAACCCTTGTAGATCCACGAATGTTCTTGAAAGCCAGCAGCACTGACTCTTCAGTCCTGGGCGGCATGTGTCTTCCCCTCCTCATGTTCTCATATGTCTGGATGAGGTGACCAGGTGGCTCCTGATGAAATGGTTCTGAGCCCTGTCTGTGGTAGCGTGGGCTTCCTCTGGCTTGCACTTGCTTTCTCTGTCCTCTGTGCTGCAGTACTCCGATGCTGCATTCCTCAGCTTAGACGACGCCATGAGCTTCAGAAATACAAGGGGATAAAAGCTGAGGAAAGAGCTTGAATCTTGTCAGAACAGGGACACCTTTGTTTTCTTGTGACAAGCTTGAGGCAGCTGTCTCACAGAAGACACTGGCCTTGAGAAATTGGCCGGTACAGTCTCCTCGCTCAGGACAGCAAGCCGCTGAGAGCCAAAAGGTTAATGGCCAACAACCCTCTCCACGGCGGTCCTGTGACTCTGGGCGGAAGGGCTCCAGAGAACTCCAGAGCATAGTGCTGGCCAGGTGGGAGTGGCAGCAAGGGATGGCTCCCCTGTGACCACACTAGACAGGAGAGCATCCCGTTGGAGAATGCTCTTTAGGAAAGTAGGAGTCCCTTGTGAGGCCATCATCACCAGGTCTCCAGTTCCATGACAAGAACACAAGCCTGGAGAAGTTGCTTATTATGTGTTGGTTGTGTTCCCCCAGAGCATATGTGTTGGTATACATAACCCTGGGGTTTAGGATGGGATAAAACTTAGAGCTTGGGTCTTCAAAGGTACTTGAGCTAAAGGGAAGTACATTGGTGCACTCTTCTCCAGTATGGTAAGACTGCTTGCAGGAACAGGGAATGAAGAGAGTCACACCAGAGGGATAATTCAGTGTCACAGGGAAAAGGCTGACATCTGCTTGCCAAATTGCCTCCAATCCTTTTGTGTTGCTGCAGCAGGAAGCTGAGGCTTGGTAGTTTATAAAGACAGAAATTGTTGCCTTTGGTTCAGGAGACAAAGGCACTGGCAAATCAATGTCTGCTGAAGGTCAGTTTCTGGCCCATAGATGACCTCTTCACCTGGTTAAAGGAGGTAGCAACTCCCTGGGGTCTTTTATAAAGCCCCTAACTCATCTCCATGCTGCAACTTCCTACCTTGTCACCCAGCACCCCACCTCCTAACACCATTGCATCAGAACAGGATTTCTGCATGTGAGTTTTGGCAAGGCTCAAGCATCACTACAGAATGATAGGAAACTACCCAAATCCAGGAAGCAGAAGAGCTGGTTCCAATCCCCTATGCCTGGAGGCAGGGAGAGTCCTCCCCACCCCTGGTCCTCATCTGTGGCTTCTATGGCTTGAGATGCCCCAGGGACCTCCTGAAGATTGGTCCCAGATCCTCCACAGCCCTGGCATCCCACTCCTGAGAAAAAGCCTCAAGAGCTGAGAGATCCAGAAGACAGCCACGGGCATCTTGAGGGATCCCTTCCACCTATTTCTGCATGTGGGGACCCCTCCAAGGGCCTCCTTCACTGCCTTAGCCTGTTTTCATCCTGCCCACAGAAATGGTTTAATCTGATGAAAACCACATTCCCTCCCTCCCTGACTGCCCCCGCTGATGAGAGAAGCAGGCTCCCAGGAGCAAGTACTCCCTGTGCTCCAAGCCCAGTGTGGCCTCCTGATAGGTGCAGTCAGGCTGGAAAGGGATGCTGCATTTAGCTGACAGGTGCACTTTGCCTTTGCCTTTAGCTACATTATAAAACTATGCCTGGATGCTCTTTCAGCCTGGACACATGGGAAAGAACCTAGGCCCTTCCCGGGATGATGTGACAGACTCTGAAAATCCCTCATGGAGGCCCTTGCCCTCCCTGGGGAGCGGAGGGGGGTGGAGTGGGGGTGAGGGGCTGGGAGGATTGGGGGGTGGGGGAAGAGGGGAGGGAGAGGGAACTGAGAGTGACATGTGTAAAAAGTTAAATAAACTATGAAAAATAAAATAAAATTACACCTGTAAGTGAAAGTAATCCAGGCATGCAGTGAGCTGGTGATAGCGAATGTTACAGTCTGAGGAGCTCTGCCCAGGATGTGCCCACCACGGTGACTCTAAGACATGGAGAGAAGGTTTGGGTCCTTCCAACTCTGCCAGGGTCCTTGCACCACCGGCCTCCCCAGCATCGCATCTGTAATGCAGTGTCAGATGCCGCCGACCCTCAGCGATCATTTCCCCAGCTGCCACTGAAGGTGATGGACTTCAGCTGAGATTTGAAGGATCTGTCCAACTTTTGTCGGAGCCTGGGCATCAAAAGCTTTGGGTACCTCCTGTGGAACAAAGTGTGCAGGTATTCAGACAGACAGCTTACCTTTCGTGGAGTTTATGACTTAATTAGAGAGAGACATGAGAAGAATATGCAGGGCGGTCTTGGCCGAGGTCTAGCATGAGTGATAGGCCTAGCTAGCCGCCAGGTTCAATCACGGTTCTGGCCGTCCTCTCCTGAGTCATTCAGTCTCGGAGCTTTAGATTTTCATGGGAAAATTTCGAAGTACGTCCTCAAAAGAGCATAAAATGTATAGTATTCCCACTATCATTTATCACTCTTACTGTATCTTGTGAATTTTTTCAAGGACAATGACTGGAGAAAAGAACATAGGACACCTCACAAGGGTGGATATCTTGGGTGACATTATGCCCAAATCAAAGCCTCACTCCTCTCCTGGTCAGCCCTGAACCCTCCCTGGCAGCATTTGAGGATGTAGGATGTCACCTGCTTTCCCTGGTGATGGTCCAATAAAAGCAGTCACCGCCTTTGCAGAACTCTAGTCTTTCTTCTCTGTGCCGCCCTGTTCCCTCACCAGGCAGAAGCAGGCAAGACAAAGCTAGCCCACAGTACCAGTCCTGTGCTGGTTCCCACTGCCCTTATCAGCAGTCAGGGAACAGCCTGCTGTTCTGTACCACCCAGTTCACAGATCCATCTACACAGCTGTCTAAACAAAACTGGGAGGAAAACCCTCATTTGTTTTTAAGGGAGCCAGGAGAGTTTAAACTGAGCCGAATGCTGATCTTAGCATTGAAGTTTGGGGTTAAGATGACAAAGGCGGGCAGCTGACATGCTGTTGCTGAGGTCTGTGTGATGTTCTGGTTCTATTGAGACAGCAGACACTCTCTGTCTCTCTCCTTCTTCTTCTTCTTCTTCTTCTTCTTCTTCTTCTTCTTCTTCTTCTTCTTCTTCTTCTTCTTCTTCTTCTTCTTCTTCTTCTTCTTCCTCTCCTCCCCCTCCCTCCCTCTCTCTTCCTCCCCCTCTCCCTCTCTCTCCCTCCCCCCTCTCTTTCCATTTTTCCTAACTTTGCTTTCACAGACAGATGTTTTGTCTCAAAGCTGGCACTTGCAGAAGGATGGAGAGACAGGAATCCTTTGCCGTTTTGGATCTCTAGAGCCCCTGCAGTACCTGGTGGGGAGGGTACACTGGTGACCCATCTCCAGTAGATGAGGCTCACCCAGGCCAGCACAACAAGGTGGAGAGGGGCTCACAGTCTATGCTCCACACTACAACAGTCTAGACTTTGAACTTCTGAAGCAACTTCCATTCAGGGGCACTAGAAATGAATCTCAAAGCTAGTGCAGGTCGCTCCTTGAGGGTTGTGAAGGGGAAATCAAGGCATAGCGAAAGCTAGAGCTGCATTTAGCTCTTCGCTTTAAGGGCATTCGTGGAGGTTCTCATACACTTTGGCATCTACTTACTAATCATAGCAGGTGGTTCAGTGGTGGGAGCAGTCTGTTCTCGTGGTTACAGATAACAGAGCCCTCCAGAGTTAACAAAGCCGCAGGGACTATCCCAGGATAGCAGTGACTCTTAGAATCCCACAAGAGGCAAAAGCCAGAAACCCTGCTGAAAGTCTAATGCAGATCTCATAGACACAGGCTTCTCTAATGGGACCTCTAAAGGAGTAAGATGATGTTCATCTTTGAGGTAGTGAGTCAACTTTCAGAAAGATGGCTGGGACAAGCAGAAAGTCCTCCCAAGGTACTCCAGTCTGAAACCCCACTGGCCCTACAGATTTGGGACCAGCTACCTCTTAGATGGTGTTCTCCTTGGTCCCACTTGGACTATGTTGTCTCCAAACGACTATCTGTGGCATGTACCCAGTCTCACCATGGCATGTGCCCAGGCCGCAGAGCACTGTTTGGTTCCTGGGGTCCTGTGAGCTCACTCACTGCTCTCCAGCCTGGCTTTGTGGCTCTGTTCCTTTTTTCTTCCTCAGGCTCTGGGAACCACTGAGTCTGGCTGGGACTTCTCTCAAATATCATAAGTTCTGTTGACCTTCCTGAAGCTGAAACTTGGGGTGAGAGGGTATCTCAGGCTCGGGCAGGCAGGATGGTTGGGGAAGCTGGCACAGTCGTGATACCCTGCTGCATGCTTCCACAACCCTCACTTGGTGGCTGTGCTTTCCAGCCTTCATTTCCCACAACTCCAGCTGGGCCAAGCCTCCTTCTCATTACTGCCTTTACCATCATAGAGACAGGAAGCCTCCTACTTTTTAGAGTCCCCTCAGTGCTAAGTAGAGTCAGGTGGGGAGGGTGCCCTGTGTCATCTATCTGGGAAGCTGTTCCAACCCATCCTATGAGTTCAGAGCTGACCATTGCCAGGTAGGACAAGAGTTGAGGGGCCACAGTTCTCAGCACATGGTGAAGTCAGGTAACCAGGAAGCTGGTCCAGTGTAAACCCAGACCATTCTTAGAGATGTCAGTATGTCTGAGATGGGGCCCCAGGACCTGCATTTTAACTAGCTTCTCAAAGAAGCTCCATGAATGTTCTGTCAGCCTCATTTGGTGAAACATTTAAGATTACTCCATGATATTCCAGCAAAAACCAGACACCGGAGACAAAAAGCATGAAAAACTGCCTGGTCACCTCATGGACCTTTGCTTCCTATATTCTGATGCCTCGACATCTGAGTCTTGCTGACAGTGGAGGACAGCTTCTGTCTCTTGACCAGTCCTACACATAGTGAAAGGCATACCCTCCTATTCACCTGTCAGGTGCCAGCTGCTGCCCACCTGTCCTTTTCAGCCAGTACAAGGACCAGACAAGCAGGAACTGCCCTGTGCCCTGGAGCCCTGAGCATACCCAGCTATCCTGCCACTCCTCCAGTCCTCCAGGCAACCTCAGAGAGAGCTCGGTATGGTTGCTTCTCTGTGCCTTTCTCAGAGGGTGAACGTGACAATTAAACATTCTGGACTTCTAAGTGCTTGGAACAGTGCCTGGTTCCCAGAGAGGATTAGGTCAGTATCTATTATTATCCTCATTTCACTAATGGGGAGACAGAGGCAGAAAGAGGATTAAGTCACTTGCCAGGATCCTCAGCTTCCATTGAGCTGGAGGGATGCCACCTTCTAGCCACAGAGCTGGCGTTTTAATATGCCAGAGAAATGCATCATGATGGTGTTTAACTTGTGGATCATTTAGTTTCTCTTGACTTCCCTTGGGTAATACGCACCATAGCAGACACTTGTTAAATAAACGAGGGAGGTTTTGTCACAGTCAAGTGGCTTGGCTCAGGACCGGAGAGCCACAGCTCTCCTATGTTCTGGGCAGGGAAGAGTGGTAAAGCTGGGGGAATCAGGCCGAGTCTAGAGCTTATAACCTCTGGCAGGGAGCACTGTGGTTTACACAAACACAAATGAAGAAAGCCTAGGTTCCTGAGGGAATTGACAGCATCTGGTGAGTGATGAGAACACAGAGAGACCAGAGGAGGGAGTAGGGGATTCCCAGGCACCTCCTTCCTTTTCCTAAGAACTGAGATCATCAGAAATGGAACTTCTCTTTCCTCCACTTTTCCTCATAATTTAAGCTTAGCAGCGGGTTCCTTTTAAGATGAAGCGTGCCTGGCACAACTCAGCTCTGCAAACACCACTCTCCCTGAAGATGGCACGCGTGTGGGCAGATGCTGGAAGGTGCAGATTGCTGACTCCAAGGGGTCTGGCTCAGCCATCTTGCAGCCTCTCTGTTAAGCCTCACACTTGCTCTCCTCCATACAGAAATCCCAAGGACCCTCTGGGTCCAGACTCTAGAGTTGCTAACTGTATAATTCAGCTATCTTGTAATTGTCCAGCTCAGGCAGGAGAGACCTGGAAACTGTTGACTGTTCAGTTTCTCTTTAATGAAATTAAAATAACATATTGTTAGACACGAATCTTCTCAGGCATGCTACTGGATAGGCTTTGTGCCTTGCAAAGCCATGCTAAATTTCAACTGTCAGTGTTTCATACAGTGTTTCTCCCATTGGCATGCTGTTTTCCCTGCATCATGAGTCCCTAAAGAAGGTTGTGAACTTTGTACAGTAATGAATTCAAATCCCACTGATGCTCAACAGACATGTGTTTAATGATAACAGCCACACACTCACCCCCCCTGTAACAAAGGTCATGTAGTTTTGTTGTCTTTTTCAGGGCAAACTACTAGCACTGTGTCATAAGCATGCTTAGATTTTTGAAGTACCCACAGATCCGTTCTTTAATAAATCTTAATTGGCTAAGCACAGAGACACAGTAATTCTGAGCTATAACACAGAAGTCTGATTTATGGCATGTCCCCAGATGCTCTGATGGGATCAATCCTGAGTGTCTGGATAATTCTTATTTATTTATTAATTTATTATTCTGTCAGTCAGCTTTATTTCTGAACAGAAGTTGCTAAATAGTCAATGTGTATTAAATTATGCCATTCAGAGACAATGAGTCGAGCATGCTCTCATGCTGGGTGTGCTCACTAGCCAGTGTTACTATTGCTGCTCCCAACATGGGTACAGGTGAATGTGAGAAGCTACAAAACTGGTAACCTGGTTTGTAATCCCACTCTTGTGAGATGAATGCATGAAGAGATCACTGACCTGTTTGTGGACACTCGATGTGTAAACATGTAATTTTGAGACATCAGTAACTAAACAAGGTAGACAGGAACTGTACAGTAGCCAGGATTTTATATGTATTTGGCATCAGGTTGGTATAAATTCACATTACAAGGTTTTCATTTTAGGGTGTAAAATGTAATCCCCATGGAAACCTCAAAAATAGCTATAGAATACATGAATATGGAAATGAGAAGGGACTAAAGTGGTTCAGTAGGAAAAATCAAACTCATACCACTGTAGTGCAGGAAAAGAGACAACAACAAAAATCAATGAGGCAAACAGGAGAGAAAGAGCAGAATGTCAAAAGTCTGTGCACCCTCATCAGATCGCTTCAAATGTGAGTGGATTAAATTCTCCAGTCAAATGACAGAGATTGTCAAAGCCAGTAGAGAACCCAGGGTCTAACTGTATGCTGCTTGCAAAAGACTGAAGGTCTAAGGACACAAATAGATTTAAAGTGAAGGGATAGAAAAGACATTTTATGTAATTAAGAGAGCAGTGCGGATAATGTAAGCTTTTAAGAAAAGTCATTTGAATTCAAATTTTGTGTTTGAGAAGGATTATAGGGACAAAAAAAAAAACCAACCAACAACAATTAAACAAGTAAAAGGCTCAACCCAGCAAGAAGGTGTGACAACTAAGCTGTCTAGGAATCTAATAGACCAAGGAAATAATAAAAGCAAAATCTCTCAGGTGGAAGGGAAGAAGAGGCAACTCCACAGAGACACACGGAACTTTCAGAATTCTCCACAAGCTTTGGAACAACCAACTGAGCAGGGAAGTGAGTTGTAAACCACATAACCCTCAGTTGGACCTGGTCAGTTTGTACAGAGAATACCACCCAATAGTAGCATGAACTGGAATTTTGTATGTACTTAGACTGATATACATTTACAGGATAAGGTTTTCATTTAAGATGGAAAATGCAACCCCATGGAGACGCCACAAAGTGCTATAGAATATATCACAGGAGGCTTTCTCCAATAATACCAATATGGGTCACAAGAAAAACCCCAGAAGATTCTAAAAGATGCATATCCTACCAAGAGTGTCCTCTGAAATGAAGCTAGAAGCCAGTAACAGAAGAAAAACTGGAAAGTTCACACATCTGTGGAAATTAAATTACACACTCACACAGTTAACACCTCAAAGGGGAAATATAGTAACACATGAAAAGATATTTAACACCAGGAATCATTAGGAAAATACAAATCAAAATGCACAAAGATCCTTTGGCATCTTGAATCAATTAGGATGATGCTCATTTCAAAAGGGGGGGCTGGAGAGATGGCTCAGTGGTTAAGCCTGCTCCCCCAGAGGACCCGGGTTCGGCTCTTAGTGCCCACATGGCAGCTCACATCTGTCTGTAATTCCAGTTCCAGGGGACCCAATGCCCATAGCAGAGCACCAATGTGCATAAAATAAGAGAGAGAGAGAGAGAGAGAGAGAGAGAGAGAGAGAGAGAGAGAGAGAGAGAGAGAGAGAGAGTTGTCTAGAGCTATGAGGTGGAGGACACAGCCTAGTGTTCCTGAAGACAGCATGCAGGAGACACGACACTTGGGCTCTGGTGTGGTGTTGGGAGACGGTGAGCTTTCACAGGTGGGACTTGGTAGGAGGTGCTGGGTCATGGGCACTGCTCAGGAAGAGATGAAACTCTCAGGAGGGTTGCTATGGAAACCTGAGCTTAAACATCAGGCTATTGTTGATTTGAAGGTCCGTCACATGGTGTTCATCTAAGCTACTTCTGGTTTTCTTCAGATTGAAGGAGAAACAGAGGTTTCCACCTGGGTTTGACCTTCCTCTGCACAGCTGCTGGCCAGGAGGTGTGGCTGGACATGGGTGGATGATCTCTCAAGAGTCTTGGCACTGCAGGGGATCTTTTGGAGTGGGCTTGTAGGATAGAGGGAATCCAGTTTGTTTAAATACCACTAACTATCTTGGATGAACAACTTAGCTTCAAGGGGCTTCTGCTTTCTCTCTCCCTAATTTAACGCTGCGTGTGTCTGCTTGCTGGCCTGTGTGTGCAGAAGAGGTTATATTGATGGCGGTCTGCGTGTTTCCCTGGCTAAGACCCCATCAGCTCATCAGACAACTCATTCTCTGAATTTATTTTGCACTCAGCAGGAAGCTACATATATCATGAAGAGATGCACATATTCACAGGAGAGCAGACTGCCTGCCAAGCCATATATATGCTAAACAGAGAGCAGCACTTATTCTGACTGCTTTCAAAGTCATGAGTCAAGGTGGGTGATGGTGATGCTAATCGGCACATGCTTTGGATCTTATTTTCTGATTAGTCCCCAGCATCTTGACTGGAAAGTTCCCATAGCAATCCTGTACAGCTGGATACATATACCCGGTGTCAAAAGTCTTTTCACCACCATTCCAACCAAATGGCCTGGCAAGAGAACCCGTGCCACGCTCTCCTGCTTCCTTCCACTCCCTGTGGAGCACCGATGACCTGGAATGTACCTGTGGAAGGTGACCCCAGCTTACCTCCCCCACTGAATATGGCCATTCATCCTCTCACTCTGGGGTTGGTGCATTATCTCCAAGGGAAACAGGCTTCCCACTGCCTGGAAGGCCACAAGGGAAAGGGAAAGGGGGAATGGAGGCCAAGGGAAAGGTGGAGTAGAGGCTGGAAAGGGTCTGCCTCCCACCAATACAACTAAAGACGCATGGGCTCCCACATACTTAGAGAACACTGGGGTTAGGCCTGGAGGTGTAGACCTCTGATTCTGGCTACTTGGAGGTTGAGGCAGGAGGATGACAAGTTTAGGGTCTTCCTGGACTACAAATGAGTTCAAGGCTTACCTGAATAACTTACTGAGACCTTACTTCAAAATAAAAAGTAAAAAGAAGGCTGGGAATGTGGCTCAGTGGTGAGTATGCACAAGGCCCTGGGTTCAATGCTCAGTTCTGAAAAAGAAAAAGACATTGAAATATTTTTGAAGTTAGCCTTTTATGCACTCATAATTTTGTACATAACTTAGACATCAAGGACTGGAAGAGCATTTCAATGCCTTTCATTTCCATTCCTTCAAACAACCAATGCTGCTCTTATGTACAGAAAGAAAATAGGAAAAATATGAACATGAATTAGTTTTTGTTGTTGTTGTTGTTTTGTTGGAGACAGGGTCTCTCTGTGTAACAGCCACCGCTGTCCTAGAACTCACTTTGTGGACTGGGCTGGCCTTGAACTCACAGATCCACCTGCCTCTACCTCCTGAGTGCTGGGGTTAAACGTGTGTCACCATCACCTGGCTATAGATTAGTTCTTATTCTCAGATATAATCACCCATGGATATTTGAATTAATAATTTTCTAGGATTTAAAATTCTTTCCTTTCTGTAACCCAGGCTGACCTTGATTTTTGATCTTACTGTATCTAACTTGATTTTAGGCATGCACCACCATAGCCAGCTAATTTTTCTCTCATTAAGGAAACCATGTCTACTTAGGTTTTTTGTTGTTGTTAAGCTGCTGAAGAAGTTTAACTATATATGTGCATCCCTATCCTTGCGTATAAACACATATGCACATACACACCTGCCACCATGACATGCAACACTCCCTGTAAGTAATGTGCTATGTCTACCTCAATTTTTAACTCATGCTTTATTTAAGTTTGTCACAGTATGCACTATGTGGTTGTATTGGCCAAGTACAATGAGAATGCAGTTCAAAAACTATGACCCTGATGTCAGCAAATGTTATTCTTTACATCTGAACCCTCCCCCACCCCTATGTAGGATGACTCATCTTCTCCTGCAGACTGTAGGGGCACAGGAAGCAGCTGGTCAGTGTCATCTCCATTATAATCACTGTCTTTCTTCCCATGCATGCTGTGTCCAGGCCCACTGAGAAAATATGATAAACCCACATTACTAAACGAGCTCACATTTTCCACATTGTGAAGGGCTCCTTAACTCACAGAGGGATTCCAAGAGGATTCATTTACATAGGAAGATCTCTGTGTTATTTAAGTGGAGTCTATTTACAAACTGTCTGGGAAACATGGAATCTCAGGAACTCATCTTGTCAGCAAAAGGGGGCTCAGGCTGGGTCCTCACTGCTCTGAAAGACTGTGGGCTACCTGAACAGGACTGGGCACTGCTGTTCTCTTCCACTGCTGACTAAAGGACAACAGAGCTGTGGAGAGAAAGTGGAGTGGCCTCAGGACCCAGAACTACTTCTGTTTCTCTGAAGAAGATGTGTTGTGTGAGGTGCTTTCCTGAATCCTCTCATTGGTACCGTTTTCGTTGTTCCAAGGCCTCCTTGTGTCTCATCAGAGGCCACCTAATCAGATATTCTAAGGTATGAGCTGAATCTGAACAGCTGTAAGAGGAGTAGAGAACGGGGCTTTATGAACAAGCGCTTTCTAGAGGAACAGAACCTATACATTGTAAAAGGGGATTCACTGGGTTGGCATGTGTGCTATGGGCTGGGGAGGCAACAATCACTTTGTGCATGTGAAAGAGACTGAGAACCTGGAAGCTGTGCAATCCAACAAGGTTGACGGACACCTTAGCAGCCCTAATCTAGTGCTGAAGTTCTGGGGGTCTTGGAAGCTCCCTGGAGAGCCACTGGTGTTGAGTCTAAATTGAGAGCCTAGAAGGAACTGGAGTCTGGTGTCAGCAGTGGATCCAAGTAGCAGCAGACATGCTCAGATAAGAAAGGAACTTGCAGGTATTTGCCACAGCTGCTCTCCCAAGTCCCTTCCATCCTAGGACTGCCAGCCATTCAGAGGGCTTCCTACATCCAGAGAGAATCTTCTTTATTTCTAATCACTGTCCCACAAGTCAACCATCTGGAAACAACTGCACGCACGCATGTTTCACCAGTCCCAGGCACCTCTTAACACAGTCAAGTTGACCACCAAGACAAACCACTACAGATGCTGTGATGGTTAATGTCCATGGTCTCCTTAACCAGATTCAGAATCATTGAGGGGCAAATCTCTGGGCACTTCCATGAGGAAACTGCTAGAGTGCTGGTTCTCAACCTTCCTAATGCTGAGAGCCTTTAGGATAGTTCCTCATGTTGTGGTGACCCCCAGCCATAAAATTATTTTTATTGCTACTTCATAAGTATAATTTGTAACTGTTATGAGCCATAATGTAGATATCTGTGTTTTCTAGTGGTCAGGGGTCGAGACCCATAGATTGAGAGTCACTGTTCTAGTATGCTACTTGGGGCAGATTGACCCACCCTAACTGTGGATGATACCACTCTGTGCGCTGGAGTCCTGGACTGCATTAAAAGGAGAAAGGGAACTGAACATAAACCTTCATCTCTCTCTGCTTCTTCGCTGTGATATACTGTGATGGCTGTCTTGTGTTCCATCACCACGATGGGCTATATTCCTTAAGCCGTGAGCCACAGTAGACCTTCCTTCCTGAAGTTTTTTGTTGGATATTTTGTTGCAGCAATGAGAAAACAACTAACAAGTGTCTTCCATGAGAGCAAAGTTTTGCTAAAGTAAGATTGGTCACCCATGGCAGCCGAGACCAGGCTGCTGGGTCAGTTGTGTACACAGGACAGGAAAACAGACCCTGGAGCTATCGTAGAAACTCAGATGGTTCTGAGCACCCCTACACTTGACTCTGCCCCTGACTGTCCCTTGAAAGCCTTGGGGTCTTTGAGTTGCTGAGAGAAAACCATTAAATTGGATGACTCCATAAAAAAGCTGGCTTCTTCCCCAGGCTCGGGGTTGAAAAGACAGTGAGGAGGAGCTTACCCTACACAGTGGAAGAGCCTTATGTGACCTTGCCAATCCCAACAGTCAGAGAAAGAGCTGCTTTCTCCAAGAGTGCTGAGGGCTCTTTCCCTGCTGTCCTGTGGGAACAGCTCCTGTGTGGGACTGTGTGAGGGGAGCATATGTTTTGTATCTGCATGGCTCCAGCTCTTCCATAAATAAGACAACAGTCTTTGGGAGTTTCAGTCTCAGGCCAGGCTCTGGACAGGGCTTTTGGTACTGACAAGAAGTGTTCTCAGAACTGCTTTGTTGGTTCCATTGCTCTCTCTTAAACTTTGGTTCCTGAGAGACCTCAGGTTCTTTGCCTTTCACCGACTCTAAGCTTTCTAGGAATTACTTTCTTGCCTGCTTTAACCCATCAAGCGGAAGAGACCTTTGCACTCATGTCTTTGAACAGGAAACAGGAGTGGGGCTTCTATGCGGGCAAAGCTGAGTCTGGCTGAGCAGCTGAGCGTGGGAAGGGCTCACAGCGGCTCCATCTTCCTGCACAAAATAATTTTCTCACCTTTGTATTTTCCCATCAGGGTTAAAAGACATGTTTTTCAGAGGAATGAGGTCTCCTTCTCCCTCCCCACCTCCTTCCCATCTAACTTTAAAACTCACTTGAACACTATGGCCTCTAAAGGAGAAAACAGGCACCCACAGGAATAATTGTAGGGACAGATGCTGGAGACATTCTGAGACAAAGGAAGTGATCCAGTTTCCCCCAAGTGTATTTGACTAAGAGTAGAACACTGTTAAGACCTTGGTAATGTTAATGGAAAACTTTCATTGTTGTAAATACCATTATTAATGTGTCTTTCCCCTTTACATATACAAAGATACTGGCGCCCAGTGATTTGACTCCCTAGTTGACAGCTGTTAGACCTGGTATCCCAGCCACCTTAAGCAGAAGTCAATCTACCAAGCAGCCAGCCTGACTGTCAGCATGGCAGCCCAATTGCTTAGAACATTGCTGGGATTCCCTAAGGAAGCTATGTTTGCCCACAGCTACTTGCTGTGGAAGCATAACTCCGGATCCTAACAATTCTATTCCAGCCATGACCATTTCAGAAAACAGCTCCTACTGGACCTTTCTGTCATCATAAGCCTCAGTGAACTCTAGCAGCCATTTTCAAATGGCCACGGGGGGAGCCTGTATCCTGGGGCTCAAAAGAAGCCACGTGATTGGTACAAGCACTGTTCATAAAGGACTCCCATAATTGATGCACACACCCTTGCCACACCCCCTTTCTGGTTATAAAAGCAAGCAGTTGGTTTACTTTCCACTCCCCTGTGCACTCTCAGTCTGTCTGTCTGTCTGTCTGTCCGTCTGTCTGTCTCTCTCTCTCTCTCACACACACACACACACACATACACCGATCCAGGAGTTATATCATCATCAGTGATGGGGAGAAATCTGATCATTCTGAGAAGCTTTGCAAGTTTCCCCAAGTGACGTCCTCTTAACTTGATAGAACTGGGGAAAAAGAATCTCAAGGCTAGCAGAACTGAAGGGAGTGGCAGCTGTGGAGAGCTCTGCCGGCTGAAGTCGGTTGAACCATAAATTCCTGATAGTGACTGTGAAATACAGGAAGATCTCTTTCCCCAGTCACTCTCACATACAGCATACTCTGTGGTCACCTGTGAGGGTTCACCCAGCCGACAGGTCTTGTCCACTGAACACTAGCTAGTGGTCCCTGATTCAACTCATTCCTGACTCTGTCTACCTGTGTCAGAACCACAGGCTGAGCCCTCATTCTCAGACTCCCAGACCTCACATGCCAGATGAAAGCCCCTGGTCTAGCCTGGTCTAGCTTCTAATCGGCAGACTGTAACTTGAGCTTGATCAATCTGATAGAGGAGAGCTCAGGGAAGTCCTTGCTTGCATTCACTCCTTTCTGAAAACAAGAACATTATGAAGAATATTGTAGAAAAGATGTTGCGGTCCAGACATGAGAGAAGAAGCAGAATTTTAAGGGAGCATGCCTCTCTGGAAGTATCCACTATCCAGTCCTCAGAAAGCCTCAGGAACCTGTCTTTTAGATATTAATGGAAGCTCCATTATGCAGTTGTGATGGGCAGTACCACTAGATTGGTGACCAGCTCTGCCTCCGGTCCCATCCTTTCCCAGGATGGGTAGGGCTGGAGTCCAATTTACAGATCCATGGCTGGTTTCCTTGGCAACTAGCTTGGCCAAAGCACGGGAAGGGGGGTGCTTCATCAGAACAAAAGATGTTCTACCCCTCACTCAGGAAATGACTAGGTGTCAGGAGCTCTGTCCTAGGGCCTACGATGTAGACTACATGTATTTTTGTAATTATTATACTTTATAGTTGCAAAAACAACAATATGTGCATATATGTATGCAAGTCTGTACACAGATGTGTACATGCATGTGTGGATATGCTTGTGTGTGCTCTGGATTTAGGGATTTTGAAGCATTTCATGGGGCCTTTAGGTTAGGTGTTTTCCGCTGGCATCTCAGTCACCACTTGGTAGGTGCTTCTCAAGTACCTTTTGCCCACTCACAGGCCTGAGCCCTCCAGCATGGTGAGAGAACAGTCACATAGCTCTGCTGACCCTTCCTCAGCCTGCTGTGGTGACCCCCACCCTCACCCTGTGAGCAGTGAGCCCTAAGCAGTGTCATGGCCCAGCTTCTGTGTTGAACCCCCATTATGCAAGCAGCAAACAGCCAGAGGTTTGGACTGGGACTGTCACCATGTTTTAAGGAGCCTGTGAGCCTTGTTCTGGTTATCTGGGATGTGTCTTGATCAAGTTTCTCAAGCTCTGAGACTCAGCGTCTTCACCTATGAACTGAAACGGAAAATTCCATATCCTGGACCCTGGTGTTGAAGAGTAGGAAGAAGCAGAGTGGAAGACCGAACAGCCTGAGCCGCAGAACTGGGAGAAAATGACACCACGGGGCCTGAACACCTCATCTCCCTGCCTGTGCCAGTTCAGGGCACTGCTGGGAGGAAGCCAGGAAGAAACTGAGACTCCTGATCTCCCGAGCCTTCTTTTCCTGGGAGTGTCTGTCCACATAACCACTGTCAGTGTGAACAGACTAAAACATCGGAGGGAACAGAGACTACTCAGCCAGTGTGGCTGCTGACAGAATGGGCAGGAAGGCCATGTTTTTCACTCAGTACAGTTAGAGCCTAGCGACCCCCTGGAGACCTTCAGATTTGAGGATGGAAGCTACAGGGTTCTCCCCACCCAGGATTCTAGTACTCCACGCCTACTTTTCAATGTCCAAACAAAACCACAGAGAGTGTTTGTAACTAGAGGAGAGTGGACTGGCTTGGCCCTGCCCTGCCCTCAGATAATAAGAATGCCTTACATCAGGGCCACTGGGCTGTGTTCTCTGGCCAGCAGTATGAGTCACCAGCCCCTGAGGTCATTTTGGCTCCAACTCAAAGTAAACAGAGTATTGAGCAGCATATCAGGTGAGAAGTGAAGGCTGGAGGGATGGGGGAGGGGGGGAAGGGAGTGTGTGAAAGGAAAGAGAAAGACAAGATGCCCGGCCACAGGAGGGGCATATCCCCTGCCCAGTCCACAGCAGTGATGCACTGACGCCTTGGCCAGTGTGGTCAGCAGTTTGCAGAAAGGATGTAGCCAATGGATACACCCAAGACTTTCTTCTCTTTTGCTGTTACAACAATTACTACTCTATTCCCCTGGCAAATTCACAAAGAAACTAAAACTGTGCCCAAATCCACCTCCCTGAATTAAAGTCTTCACATGTTAATGGCCCTGTATCTGTAATATCCGTAGACCCATTGGAGGTTAACAGGCTGAGGTCTGGATTGTGCAGGGCAGGTCCATTTTGCCCAGAGAATGATGCCCAGAGGCAGGTGCAGCATTCTGGACCTGCTGATTTCTCATCTCTAAAACACTAGTATGGAGCCTGATTCCCCTCACTGTGCATGAGGGACAGCTTGCAGGAGTGCCAGGCTGCTGTATCCTGCCTCAGAGCCCATAGGCCTGGTGCCCTAAAAAGGCCTAGTCATGCCCCCAGTTCCTGTTAGCAGGGGTGCCTGGCATCCTTACCCAACATGCTCTGGGAGGAGTTCACACATCACAGAGAAGCACAACAAGGCTACCAGAAGCTCCACCGGACACCTGAACAAAAGGCCAAGATTGGAGAAGTAACCTCTGGACCTGAAAGATGCATTCTGTTTGCTTCTCTTTGATGGGAGGGTTTATGGGAATTCCACATTTTAAGCACACATCCCAAATAACCACTGCTGAAGACCTTTGCAATGTTAACTTCCACTTCCTGCCCAGGGCTCACCCGATGTTAGGTGGCCTCAGTCTCTGGAATCTGTTACTTTGGAAAAACAAGACACAGCTCCAAGAAATCCAGAAAGCCATTTCTGCAGATCAAATTATGGCATATCTGTCCCAAGCTGTACCCTTTTCCTTCCCCCTGCTGATTCGGTTTGCACCATGATAATCTATACACGGGGACTCCCAGAAGATGGGAGCTTTCCCCTTGCTTCTGTGTGGTCCTGATACCCATCCCAGTCCAAAACAAATGGAAGCAAAAATGACCTGTGACCACCCAATAAAACGCCATGTGTGCTCATTAGCCCTGCTACCACGTGGGACTGTGTGCTCCGGTTAGCACCAGGGGCCTCCAAGAAATTGCAACAAGCTGCCAAGGCTTCATCAAGCAAACTGAACCTCAAGGATGAATGTGTGCCTTGATACAGGCTGTTCTCACTGCCTGGCAGGGCCTTGTGCTCTAGGTCATTAAAATGCGCAAGTCGCCCTGCTTATCAGGACCTTTGAGCTGACAGAAGCTGAGAGGAGGTACAAGGAAACAATGGACTGGATTCCTGCCCCAGGGGAGTCTCCCTTTTCTGGAAGAGACAGGCACAGTTGGACCAAGTCTGTGCATGGTGAGGGATGCACAGCAACGTGGCCTTCTTTCTTCAAGCGCTCCACACACCCACATCCAGGGCAATGGGTGGGTAAGCACTGAAGGAGATTTGTGGGCACTGATTCCACTACAGACCCCACAATCCCAAGGGCTTGCATGTGGGCGATTTGATTGGGAAAACCGAAATCTTAAGAGTACATACCAGGTAACCTGGGAGGAGGCTGTGGGCCTCCATGGGCAGAGCAGGAAGAAGGGAGAGCAGAGAGGACTTGCACAGTAGGATGGCCACGTGGAACACACAACCTGTCATGTACCTGTGGTTTGGCAAATTTCCGGTAGCCATGACACTGTCGCAGGTTCCTCACTAGTGTGCAGAATTTGGGTTGGTTGTGAAGGACAGTCAGAAAACTAAGCAATGTCCTGTAGAAGCAAGGGCTGCTCACAGCAGATTTATAGGACCGCAGAGCCTAGAAATGAAAACACCAAAGTTAGCAAGACTTAGAACTTTATTTAGGAAAAAAATAATGAGATGAAAATTGTAGAGTTTTGTCCTCATTGTGTTGTGACCTGTTAAATTAGACTAAAACATTAGCAGTGGACACAGAGGGCTGCAATTAAAACAGAAGGCAGGGTAGTAGTCTTTCATATTAGAGGACAGCTATTGTTTTATCTAGTTCAATAAAACCTGGACAATATAAAGTTCAAAACAAGCAATGTTATCCAAATGGTTGTTTATCACTTGTCAACTCCCTTTCAGTTGCTACAACAGGCTAAGAACAAAATGACACAGAGATAAGAAGCATGGCTGGCTAAGGGAAGGGTATGTACACCCAACCAGAGGCTTCTAGAACCTTCAGAAAAGCCTGGCTCCAAAGTCTCTAGTTACTGCTCTCAGCTACAGCTGGCTTGATGGGGCCTTCCTTCTCTGAAGTATGCCTACCTTTTCACTCCCACCCAAACTCCCCACATGCATCACAGGGTCAGTACACTCAGACCATGTGCACAGCTCCAGGACCTGCCCTGAGGTGACCACTAGACCCCCCTCAACGTTATTGAGCACCCGGTGTTGCCTTCATACAGGTTTCTTCACACTCTCAGACCACCACAGCCTCCCACCACCTATCTTAGTTGTTATGTTCTGAAATACTTTGGCCAAGAAGTAGTTAAAAAAAAAAAAGGTCTTGTAAGCTCCATGAGCACACACACTACAAGAAAACTCAACAATGCAGCAGAGAGCCTTGTCCTTTCCTATTAGGACTCTGTAAGTGAAGTTGTCAAAGGCACACAAGCTGGGAAAGTGCCAAGAGTTGCTGGCTTGTGGACCTCCCTTCAGCAGATCAGTGCTGAAGCCAGGCCAGCAGCTTCCCTGGTGGCTACGCTGGGTGTGGGCTGGGGAGGAAGGGTCATTTCAGAGAATACCTCCCTTGATACAGCTCTAGCACAACTCATGGAAACCCCTCTCTGCACCTAGGGTGCTTTCAGGTTCTCATTGCAGGCTCTACCAAAACAGCTCAAAATTTCGTCTTCTGGCCTCAGTGTTGCAACAACTCTATCACGTGCAAAGAGCCTGAGGCTTCTTCTGAAGTAGAGGAGGAGGATAGGCAGGAGGGGTTGCATCTTTATTTGATGCCAAAGAATAAACTGTTCCCCAAGAAGTCTGGTACTGACACACCACGACAGGAGTATCGGACCCACTGCACAGCAGGCAAAGACAGCTAGGCATAACTGTCCAGAGCAGTGCCTGCCTTCTTTGGAACAGTTTTCCCCGTAATATCTTGCCATATGCATACACATACATGTATACACACCTGTTTATGCAAGTATGTACACATGCACATACACTCATGTAAGCACAAGAAAGTATGCCACAAGCACCATGCTCTCTATTTTGAATCCTCTAGTAGTCTGAATAGAATCATGCACACACAGGATATGCGTATTTGTATTCACATAAACATACATCATCATATAGATAAGTGTTTCTGCTAGTATCACACCCCACAAAGGAAGTAATGGAGACAGAGGTGCAATGGATGCTGTGGTGGTGTGGCACCCAGGGATTGGGCTGCTGTAATGGCTAATTTCCATTGAATGGATTGATAAACAACTAAGGTATTAATGAGAGAAACCTTTGGGCCTGAAAGTTTCTAGAGGAACTGACTGAAGAGTGAAAACTTTCTTCAATTCAGGCAGCAATATCCTATGGCTAGAGTTTTGAGTGTTGGGGAATATTGAACTACCCAGCTCCATGACTGGTGTTCTTGAGATTGTTATGCTAACCACTGGGAAACCAAGTCTTTTCACTCTAATGCAAAGATGGCCCTGCCCACTCACAGGATTCTTGTTTTGAAGGATTAAATTACTTGCTACCAGAGAAAACTTTTTAAGTACTTATGGTGGTTTGAAAGAAAATGGTCCCCAAAGGGAACGACACTATTAGGAGGTGTGGCCTTGTTGGAGGAAGTGTGTCACTATGGGGCTGGGCTTTGAGATCTCTTTTGCTCAAGTTCCCCTCAGTACGATAGTCAGTCAACTTCCTGTTGCCTGCAAGATGTAGCACTCTCAGCTCCAGCACCATGTGTGTCTAGACGCCACCGTGCTCCCCGCTGCCATGATGATAATGGACTGAACTTCTGAAACTGTAAGTAAGCCACCTCGATTAAATGTTTTCTTTATAAGAGTTGCCATGGTCATGGTATCTGTTCACAGCAACAGAAACCCAACTATGGAAGTACAATACTATGGAGGTGAAAGCAGGACAAACTTGCAAAAATACCTTCAAGTTCTGAGCTGGGGCAAAAAGTTCATGGAAGCTGGATAATCCAGAAATGTGATCTCAAACCAGCATGGCCAGCATTTGCCAGTGCAAGCCTAAGTGCTGGCTGGTAAAAAAAGGCACAGTGCATTAGTTATCATTCTGGTCGCTGCGACAAAATACACGACAAAAAGCTCACACTTTGAGGGTACAGTCATCATGGTGGGGAGGCATGGTGGTAGGAGCTAGGAGCCTGGTTTCATTGTACCCATAGTCAGAAAGCAGAGAGAAATGAAAGCAGGTCATCAGCTCAGTTTCTCATTTTTTTTCAGTTCAGGACCCCAGCCCATGGGATGAAGCTGCCTATACTTATGGTAGGTCATCACCACTCAGTGAAACCTCTCTGGAACGTCCATCACACACACACACACACACACACACACACACACACACACACGTCTCCCAAATGATTCCCAGTCCCATCAAATAGGGAAGATTGACCATCACACATAGTCGTGTGGCCTGGCCCTTGCCTAATTGGAGAATGACTGTTGTCGATCATGCTGTGCCACAAAGAATAAACACTCTCTTTCTTTAAAATTTTGATATGGTGGATCTGGAAAGATGTCTTGGTGGTGATGAGCATGTACTGCTCTTGCAGAAGAAGACCTGAGTTCAGTTTCCAGAATCCACATGGTGGCTCACAACCATTTGTAACTCTAGTTCCAGGAAATCCTAGGCCCGTTTCTGGTTTCCACAGGTCCCAGACCCACACGAGGCATACATACATACTTGCAGACACTCCCATGCACACATAAAATAAAAACAAATAAATAAATGATAGTTTTGATAATGTATTCATTAGGAACTGGACTTTTACTTTAAAATACATTTTACTCTCAAAGGTTGCACTAAACGGTTATTTTTCTGGATTTATGAGTTATTGGTGGTATGGTCTTTATGTTTTGCACAGGAGTGAATGCCTCTCTCATTTCCTAAAGTTCTATCCCTGGTGAGCTCTGGTGGGTGTTATTGTTTCCACCATGATGGGTTTTGATGGTTCTGACAGTCATCTCCTTCCTAACATATACCCTATCCAAAAAAATAAAGACAAAGAAAGAAAACAAAAATAATAGAAAAGAAAGGAATACTGTAGAGTACAAAGAAGAAAACCAGCCATGAGCATCCAGAACCTCTTCTGGTTAAGAGCTCTCCTTGCACAGTGCAAAAACAGTTTGAGCTACTGAGTCACATGGGACAGTGTGGTGCAAAATGCCCTTAGGGAACATTGTAGGAATCCGTCTATGTAGGGGGACAGCTGTGATCCTGCTCTTGCAGGTGCACCAAGGGAAACCTGGAGGGAGATAGAAACAAGATTAGACCAAAACTGGAGAAGCATCTTTAACAGGAGCATGCACGGCTATGATAACGCTTCCTTCTTTCTCTGCTTCGGGGCAGGTTTCAACTCTTCGCAGCTGATGCTGGTATTACAGCAAGAGAGGAGATACTGCTAAGAGTCACTGGAGCTGCCTGTGTGCCTGCCTGCTGTAGCACCAGGAACAAAAGTAGATGTTAATAATGTGGTTAAAAGAGAGAAAGAGAGGAGGGGAAGGGGCAGAAGGAAGGAAGACAGGGGCAGAGGGAGTGAGGCAGGAAGGGGAAAAGGTAGGTAGGGAAAAGGTAAGGAACAAACCCAGCCAGGTAATCAAAAACCAGAAAAAGTCTGAGAAACTTTCACGGCACAAGGAATCCAAGGAGGCCTCCAACTCTGGCCTGAGGACGGCTAAATTCCATGTGTTTGTGTTGGACATTGGACCCAGTGAGGATATGGGATGAACAAAGGACATGGTAGAGGCATGAAGATGGGCACTGGACGCAGTGAGGACATGAAGATGGGCACTGGACGCAGTGAGGACATGAAGATGTGTAATGGACATTGTAAAGATGTGGCAATGGACACTGGGCATGGTGAAGACACGAGGATGGACACTGAATGCAATGATGACATGAGGATGAACACCGGGCATGATGAGGACACGAGGATGGACATGGGACATGATGAAGACATGAAGATGGACCCTGGGCATGGTGAGGTCATGACAATGGACACTGGGTGGAGATGGAGTGAGGACATGGTGATGGACACTGGGCATGGTGAGGTCGTGAGGATGGACACTGGGCATGGTGAGGTCGTGAGGATGGACACTGGGCATGGTGAGGACATGGTGATGGACACTGGGCATGGTGAGGACATGGTGATGGACACTGGGCATGGTGAGGACATGACAATGGACACTGGATGGAGTGGGGACGTGAAGATGGACACTGGGCATGGTGAGAACATGGTGATGGACACTGGGCATGGTGAGGTCATGAGGATGGACACTGGGCATGGTGAGGACGTGAGGATGGACACTGGGCATGGTGAGGTCGTGAAGATGGACACTGGGCATGGTGAGGTCGTGAGGATGGACACTGGGCATGGTGAGGTCGTGAGGATGGACACTGGGCATGGTGAGGACGTGAGGATGGACACTGGGCATGGTGAGGTCGTGAGGATGGACACTGGGCATGGTGAGGTCGTGAGGATGGACACTGGGCATGGTGAGGACATGGTGATGGACACTGGGCATGGTGAGGTCGTGAAGATGGACACTGGGCATGGTGAGGTCGTGAGGATGGACACTGGGCATGGTGAGGTCGTGAGGATGGACACTGGGCATGGTGAGGACATGGTGATGGACACTGGGCATGGTGAGGACATGGTGATGGACACTGGGCATGGTGAGGACATGGTGATGGACACTGGGCATGGTGAGGACATGACAATGGACACTGGATGGAGTGGGGACGTGAAGATGGACACTGGGCATGGTGAGAACATGGTGATGGACACTGGGCATGGTGAGGTCGTGAGGATGGACACTGGGCATGGTGAGGACGTGAGGATGGACACTGGGCATGGTGAGGTCGTGAGGATGGACACTGGGCATGGTGAGGTCGTGAGGATGGACACTGGGCATGGTGAGGTCGTGAGGATGGACACTGGGCATGGTGAGGACGTGAGGATGGACACTGGGCATGGTGAGGTCGTGAGGATGGACACTGGGCATGGTGAGGTCGTGAGGATGGACACTGGGCATGGTGAGGACATGACAATGGACACTGGATAAAGTGATATGAGGAGGGAAAGTAGATGAGGTACCAGCCTGAAGATGGACACTGGACGTGTGAGGACATACATGAAGATGGACAGTGGATACACAGCATGGACTCAGTAAGGATGAGAGGTAAGAGTCCAGAGATATGCCCTGTGTAAGCTTCATGGTAAACAATGTGACCATGTAGTCGCTGGTATTTTCTCTGTGACAGGTCAGCATCATTGCAAGTGGAACTCTGTGTCTGTAACTTTTCTGTAAATCTGAAACTCTAGAATAGTTTTATATTTACAGAAAAGATTTTAAACAGTAGAATAATGGTTTTACTCCCACAGTAAGATCAGAGTCGGGAGACAAGATGCATCTGACATTAAGGTCAGAGTGTCAGGCTACAGCTTTCCCCGATCCTCAGGGAGAGGCTCTGTGGCTGGGCAGTGATGAGGCTTCTGCGCTACAAGACATACAGCAGAAGGCGGGGGCTCAGTGCCTCTCACCCCATAAAACTTGGGTTGTTAACCACAACTCATAAAACCCAGAGACTAAAGCCCAAGACTGGGGACATGAGACAGAGCTCTCCACAGAGGATCATTGTCCCAGAGCTGGCCTGGCCTCTTAGAAAGCCTTGGAATCAGTCTCTCTGCTGGTCACGGATCCTGGATGGCTGGGATCAGAACAGTGGACTGGACTAGGTTTATCCTCTGTTTCCTTTCTCTAATCCCAAAGGGGATGAATGGTGGCTGGTGAGCCTCAACAGAACAAAAATTAAGATTGTCTGGGGTGGCTAGTAGCTCTGAGCCTGGGAAGTTGATCAGAAGCAAGACTGCCCAGCCCTAACCCCACTGTGTTTATTTAGATCTCTATTTGCAAAACCCAGCAGGGCAGGGCCTTTGTGCTCTGAGCTGACAAAAAACAAGGTCACACTTTAAGCATAACTCATGTGCTGGCTTGCTCTTGTGGACAGACAATGCTTAGAAGCCACAGCCTGAAGCCTCCCTCCTCCATACCAGGAGGCAGCAATGTTCCCATAGGCCTTTGTTCCATGATAGATCACAGTTCCACACGTTGACTTCCCTGTAAGTTCTCAGAGCAGGAGTCCTGGACTCGCCAATGAAGTCTGCGTATTCTGGGTACACTGGGAGGTCTCCTGTGTCCAGCCTCTTACCATGTGAGCTCTGTGGTAACAGGCAGAGTCAGGACAGATGGAAGGACCAGCTATGCTGGGAGGCAGCCCATGGAAACATGTGTCTGTGATTTCTCCACAGCAGGAGGGTGGTGCATAGCTGCCCATCCTCAGTTAACTGTAGGGGCACAGCAACCAGCTTAGAGGTCCTGAGGCCAAGCTGATCAAGACCTACAGATCAGCCCAGTGGTGGCCCATCATGGACTTGGGTCTCAGTTCCGTCATATCCCGTTTCCTTCTTCCTCAGCTCCAGTGCCCTGTCCCCCACTTTACTCAGGCTTTTCCTTTCTAATTTCGGGAAGCTTCCCGCCTCCATTCTTATTCCACCTTCTAAGCCACAGCATGCATTCTATGTCTTACAGGACCTCTTGGGCAGTAACCACTCCCCCTAAAGCCTCCTGACTCTTCCTCCTGTGCATGGTCTGCATACCTGGACACCTTGTTTTATGATCTGCCAATCCCTAAAATCAATAGCCCTGCTCTTAGAGCAAAGTCTAGGGTTAGGGGCGAATGCCAAAGTGATGGCTCTGTCCCACTACGGTTCCCCCCTCTTAAAACTACCTGTTTATAGCTGCTGTAAAAAGTTAGAGGAAGCGATTTCTCCAGCTCATCCCTTTTGTATTTATTAGTGGGCATCTGCTGCAAAGCAAGCTTTTCTTTATCTTTGGATTTTTCCTTAGCTTCCATGAAATTCATTTGGTATTTGAAAGACAAGAATAGTAGCTACTATACTTCAATGACCTTCTTATGACTATATTTGCAATAACAAATAGAAAAATTGGTGTTCTGCCCCCCATTATTTTGAACTCATAGAGATGAAGACATAAAGATGAAAGGCAGTTTCCTTGTTAAACACCACAGAGCTAATGACAGCACATCAGTAACTAGAACCTGGGAATGCTTCTGAACCCCCATGTCCTCTGATTCTCTGTGTTTCTTTTGAAGCTTTCAGATGCTGAGTTTGCAAGCTTATGTCCTTACAGATGACTGTGTTAGTATCAGTAGGCAACGGCTGCCAGCCTGAGTTTGGTTTGCTTGATCCTCTATTCTCCCCCATTTACCACCTCCTCTACCAATAGGGAAGGCTAGAGCCAGGTAGAGCCTGTATCACACGGTGCCTGCCTGGCTCTGTTATCACTTTTCTGTGGATGGAGTTGTAATATCTCAAGTACAGTCCAGAGAACTAGAGCTCTTAGTCACAGGCAGAGGCGTTCTCTACTGTTGCACCCATGTTCACAGGGATTTCTCAGTCCACGGGGCTCCTCCCTTCTTCTCCTTTCTGTTTGATTTCTTTTGCGAAATTGTACCCTTATGCACAGTTTATTGACTCGTATGATAACAGGTGATATTCTCCATGCCTTGTGTGATCTGTAGACATATTGATGATGACTAATCAATGAAGAGGAGTGATTCTGATGGCTGGAGAGCTCTTGGTTGTTATTGAAATAAAATCAGACATGCAAGTCACAAATGAACAAATACAGACTGGGAATAGAGCTCAGTTGGTAAAATCTTACCTAGTATGCATGAAATTCTGGGTTCAATCCCCAGCACCACATAACGCAGTTGGGAGGTAGATACAGGAGGAACACAAATTCAAGGTCATCCTCAGCTACACGGGGAATTCAAAGTCAACCTGGGCTGCCTGAGACTCTTTTTAAAACAGACAGACAGAAGGACTGGAGAAATAGTTCAGTTGGTAAATTGCTTGCCATAATTTCTAGTACTTAAATAAAACGTCAAGTATGTTAGTACATGCTTATAATGCCAGCACTTGGGAGACACAGACAGACAGATCTTTGGGACTCACTGGACAGATAGCCTAACTAAAGTGGTAAGCTCAAGCCCAGTGAGGGGCTGTCTCAAAGGACAAGTGGATGGCTCCTGCGGAATAACACAAGTTGACTGTGGCCTTCACACTCATACAGGTATACCCACACATATACACTCTTAACATCCTCTCACAAATAATCAAGTGGTGTGTGAGCACGCATGCGAGCGTGCACGCACACACACACACACACACACACACACACACACACACACACACACCAAAAAGAAGAAAGATAATAGGTAGAGTTAATCAGTTTAATGTGTTTATGGGTTAAGTAAGATTTTGTTGGTTACACATAAATTTCTTATTTAGAACACTATTATTAAATGCTAGCTGGCAGTTTTGCCTTTGTGAGCCGTGAGTCCACATTACCTTCCTTACTTGCCTACCTTCATTTTGTTCTACAACAACTCCTTTAAATGGCTATGCTGATGTCTTCATTTTACAGATGAGTTTTACGGCGTATAAAGTTCCCCCCAAGTTAGCGAGTGGCAGAACCAACATTCCCACGAGTGTTCCAACTCGAGCTACGCAGCTAGTCACTTTCTTCTAACACAATTCCCCATCACTTGGGATGTGTGAACAGTGGGACAAGCTCTTGGTACAAAGACCTGCCTGATGTCACATGAACTCTGAGAAGCAGACCTCAGCTTTTAGTCAGACTGAGAACCCGAGGACAGGCTAGTGCTCCTGTTTGAAAGCTGGACATCAAATCATAAAAATCACTGTCCATATTTAAGAAAGTCACTGAAGGAAGCAAGACAACTGAAGAGCACAAGAGTCTAAGGAGGAGTGAGCAGCTGTTAGCCCTGGGTAGCCATTGGCCTGATAGACAGAGTCTGGGGGTGAAGGCTCAGCAGAGCTCTGGAGGCTCTGTGGACTCTTGAGTTAGTGAGTGTGGCAGCCTGTCTGTGGTAAGGTCTAGATGCCCTGATTGCCTTCTGTTGTGGGAGGGGTGGGACCACAGGGCTCTTCAGTGTCTGGCTAAGGCAGTGAGGTCTATGACAGCCTTGGCAGCCACCATTTCCTTCATTTTGTCAGAGACAGTAAGCTTCTGATGCCAATATTTTGGTAATATTTTGGTTTGTGCTCACCAGCACTTCCAAGTCGCTGGCTTCAGCTCCACACATGGAATTTTCAAGTTAAGAAAAACCAAAACCAGAATCCAAATGAACAATCTAAGTTAGAGCGCTCACCACCATGTCATTCGCTGGATCTGAGTTATTAGACCGTCTGCCATCTTCTCTCCACCCTCTCATCTTCTTGGTCTCCAGCTATGTGTGACTCCAGGACCGTCCACGTGAATTGTATGTCAGTGATTCTCCTTGTGTGAATATATACAAGGGAGCTTTTTCTTTGGAGTAGAGAAAGAATGAGAATTACTTCCTGAGAAATTTCCTGGGAGCAGCATTAGGGCAAAGGGAATACTATAGAGCTGTTGTAGTGCCTGAGAGCAGAGTATGGTCTGGTAGTGAGAATAGAAGAGTGCCCTGCTAGAACAGTCAGCACGAGTCTTAATGTTTACTCTCTGTTCATTTGGTTTTGAGACAAGGTCTGATTAAGGAGCCTACACTGAGCTCAAACCACAGTAATCCTCCTGACTTCTCAGGACCTGGGATCACAGGTATGTGCCACCAGACTTGCCCAAGATAGTTGTCTGTCGGGTGAATATTTTTATGTAACCCCCCAGTCTCCCCAATTTTAGCAAAGCGAATGAGCTAAATATGATTCTTCCCTGACATTTATATTTTCAGGGTTGCACTTGTTGGCTAACGATTCTTTTTCTGTCGATCTCCAGAACAGAGATGTTTTCTCTGGGACACTGAACAGCCAGCCAGTCTGCTTGTCCAGCTGCTTCTCTGGGTCAGCTTCCCTGACAGATGGGCCAGCCACACTGAGGTGGAACATGAGTGTCTTTACCTATCAACCCTTCTGTGGAACAAGGCAGCTCTTCACACCAAGCTCAGCTTTTGGTAACCCTTTCCACCAAGACTCTCAAGTGCTTCCTCATCGTTTTCATCCAAATGTCCAGTTAACTTGGTGATGCTGAATTGTTCTATGCAGCTTGTGCCCATCAGGAGTGAGCCTCTCCCCCTTCTGCCTCTGCCTCTCCTCCAGTCAAGCGTCTTTTATCTTTTTCTTCTTTATTTTTAATGGCTAATGCTTCAGAGAACTCAAAGTAGGAAAGAGCTGCCTAGGGGAATTCAGTGGGATTTTTACTCCATCTGACCATGTTTTGTCACCTGACAGAGTGGGCTAAGGTTTTTCTTGCCAAGCCTGTGAAGTCATTTGTTTGACTGCATTGTCGTAAGTTATTCATTAGCAAGTATGAGGAAAGCCTTCTGAACAGCAAGGCTTCTCTTCCTCTTGCTACTGCTTCTGGCCCAGTCCTCACACTTCCTTCGGGGACTCTGATCTTGCATTGTTGGGCTGCTCTCCACAGCTCACTCACCTTCCTTACTTCATACAAGAGCAATGTAGGTTAGGGCTTCTCTGCTAGGGACCCAGTTCCGTCTCCTTCCCCTCTTTATGGGTGGAGGTCCCCGGAGCACCTTCTACCTAGCTCTGTTCCTCCTTCCTCCAGGCTAGGAGCCATCAGGACCTGGCTGCTCCATCTTTGCTCCCTGCATCAATCACAGCCCAGAGCAACACAGAATAGGTTTTTGCTCAATGACTAGAACCAGGCACAGCAGCTAACACAGCTAACACATTTTCTTCTCTTCTAGCTTCTGACTGGAGCAGGCATCTCCTGCTCTGTTGAGGACTCTTAAGAACTTTAGTCATTAGAAAAGAACTTCCTGAGAGCTTCATATTGGGAAGCGATGAAGTAACATATTAATAACTCAATGTTTTTGTCTGCAGATGCTTAGAAAGGCTCAGCCATGTAGAGGGCTTCAGAGCACCCATGGCTTTTGTGGAAGCCTGACTCTGAGCCTGGCCCTCACAGACACTGTGTCAGAAAATGCACATCACAGGGTGACAATCCTGGGGTGAAAAATAAAACAGAAAGGTAACAGAATCAGTAAGCTCACTGGCAGCAGAATGTTTGATTAATAAAAATAGGGTTAATTACCACTTTATCTGTGGCAGCCATGAAATCACACTAAGCAAATGTGAGCATTTGAGCACTGGGTAGATTAGAATATTCACCACCTGTGTCACTGTTAATCTCAGACAGTCGAATGCTAAATAAAAAATTCATAGGGAAAAAAAACCAGAAATTTTTTTGTCCTGAATAAATCAATCATCTACGGAATTGTAATAGATAGCATGTGGGACTGTGGATGATTCTGTCTTCCTAACATGCTAACTTGCTCCTCCATCCTCTTAAGGCAGAATCTCGTGTAGCCTACGCTTGCATCAAATTCACTATGGAGTCAAGAATGACCTTGATTTACCGATCTTCTTGCCTTCACCTCATACATGCTGGAATTTACTGGCACGGACCACCAGTCTGCCTTGTCTTGCTGTTTTAATGACAACAGTAGAAGCAGGTGAAGGTGAAGACAGGTGGATCAGGAGTTCAAAGTCATCCTCTAGTGTACTTGAGACCAGCTTGTGGTACATGAGAATTTATTTATTTTTCTAAGTGAACAATAATAAACAGGTAAGCTAGCCTAGCAGTAGATTAGCGCACACAGATTTTTTAAAACTTTTAACAGCGGAATGTCAAAAAAATGAAGGAAAATGTACTGTTTTTCCATAAGTAGCACATTGCCATTAAATTTCCTCCACCAGGTAACAAATTCCAGCAAGATGGACTGTACACTATTTAGATTATATGAGCAGATGTCACCTATACGTTGTTAGTACTTTTTACTGAACAGCTGTCAACAGGTAATTCTTTGTACTTTCCAAACTCCTGTTTTCATGTGTCTTCTTCTAAGCTAAATGATTATAAGGATCTTCCCAGTCTTCTCTTCCTTTGGTATGTTTTTATCATAGTAAAATGCATATAGCAAGATGCACCATTGTAACCATATAGAATATAGCTGAGTAGCTTTAAGCTTATTCATATCCTCCAGTAACCATCACCATCATCCATCACCAGTGTTTCATCTGTTTATTTATTTTTGAGACAGGTCTTTATGTTGTAGCTTGGGCTGACTTTGAACTCACGGCAATTCTGCCTCAGGCTCCTGAGTGTAAGGGTGGGAGAGGTACAACTCACCACATAGGCTCTTTAGGGCTTTTGTGTCTTCCCAAACTCAATTTCTATCTCCTTTAAACACCCCAGCTTCCAGCAGCAGGGACCACTTTCTGCATAGAAGACAGACTGTGTGACCATCTCATGTAAGGAGGAGTCATATGGTATTTATCTTTTTGTTACTGGCTTGTTTCCCACAGGCTGAAACACTTGCCAGAATTTCCTTTCTTCGTAAGGCAGAGTCCACTGTGTGGACACACCACATTGCTTATCTGGTCACCCTTCACCAGACCTCTGCATGGCTTATTGTAAATACTGCTCTGAGGGCTGCACGTCTCTCCCTAGTGCCTGCTTGAGTTCTTTAGCACGTATACCCAGCCGTGCGACAGCTGGGTCCTGGTGCCTCTACATCCAGTTTCTTGAGGGTCTGCCATGCCGTCTTTCACAGCAGCTGTACCATTTTACCCATCGGCAGAGTACAAGAGTTCTTTTCTCCACATCCTCCCCACTTTTTCCCAGTATTCTCAGAGGACGCTGCAATACAGGGAGTCTGTCCTTGCCTGGCATCATGTTAGAAGGGGGTTGACCCTTCTGAGCCCGCCCCAGGCCTCTGGCTACAACGGAGCCAACGTTCCACAGGGTTATTCTGGCTGCTAAAAAGGAACGGAGACCCTAAATGTGCCAGGGAAAGCAGTGGCTCAATTTGCCAGCCTACCAAGTGGTCCAAGTCTCTAATGCAGTTTCTGATCCTGAGAACTTGACGCGCCCCCATGGACTCTTCTGATGAACTGCCCCACGGGCTTGGGCCTCAGGGAAAGATGCAGTCTTATACTGACTCCAGAATCTTGGCTGAGTGGCCAGCAAGCAAGTCAAGGTGCAGTGGCTCCCCGGTAGGCATGGCCACACTTATAGCTCCCTGTGCATGAGGAGAGATTGTCTACATCTGCAGAAGCCTCACTTGCCACACTTCTCTTTCTCCCTGGAGACTTCAGGATTTATCTGGCACCAGCCAGCCTCCTCAGTTTCTTCCTGTCCTTCACGGCTGGGAGGAGCAAGACTGTCCAGGATAGGCCAGTACTGGCAGAGGCAGCACTCGTGTCTAAGGTGAAAGGGACATGCCTGAGAGGAGCAATCTTAAGCTGCCGTCTGTCCTCTGGGGAGTGGGCAGCTACCTACAGCTCGCTTTTCTGAGACTTTGAGATGAGGAGTACCTTGGGCTGAGTTAGCATCTAAACAGAGGGATGATGTTTGGGCCAGCAGAGCAGGAAAGACAAACCAGTTCTTCCTCAGAGCCCAGCTGGCATCCTTGTTTCCAGCTGGTGCAGAGAGGTTACAGTGTAGGATGAGTGGACAAGCTCTTAGCACCTGACCCCATCAGGCTCCACTGCGGGGGTTGGGATAAGAGGGGAAAAGGTAACCAGCTCTTTTCTTTTTTTCTTTTCTTTTCTTTTCTCTTCTCTTCTTTTCTTTTCCTTCCTTCCTTTCTTCTTTCCTTCTTTTTTTTTCTTTTTTGGGTCCTCCCAAAAATTGCATATTCAATTCTCATCCAAGATAGGGCTTCTGAGAGAGTACTAGGTCATGAAGGTGGCATTTCAGGAATGGCATGGGTACCCTCATAAAATGCCTTAGAAAGACTTTCCCCCATACCACCCACAAACCTCAGTCTCCTTCCTAAATCCCACCCAGCCCACCTAGGAGACTGAGCAGGGTGCCCCGTGGTGTCCCTTTTCTGGAGCCCTGAAGTTCTCCTCAGACCCACTCCTTCATGCTTGGTGTTGTTGAGCACCACTCTGCAGTCCCATCTCTGCCACCTGTGGGTCTTCCTGTCACCGTCTCGACTCTCTCCCTCCTTTCAGCCCTCCCCATTCCTACCTTTATGCCGAGTGAGTCCACTGTGTGTACACGAGTGACTCTGTGTACTGGTCACTCAGGTCCTCACCTTCCTCACATCCGGTGTTTTCTTCTTTTCATCATGTATGTCCATCTGGACAGGCAGGGATGCAGTGCTGCAGGGAGCTCAGGAAATGCCATACAGCTTCAGAGCCTTTCTAAAAGGCAGTAACTGCCCAACACTTACCCCTAATCCTTTGCAAACTCATGCAGTCATTGGGGAGCAGCTGAGGAGACAATAGCTGGGCCTAATGGCATCCAGCCCTGAACTCAACATGGTATGCCTCACTGCCTTTCCCAAGTCAAGCTCATTCTTATGGTACATTGTAAGCACCACGACATCAGACAGACAGGAATAGAAAACACGTCACAAGGAAGAAACTGCAGGGGCGTGGTGGCACACACCTTTAATCCCAGCACTCAGGTGGCAGAGGCAGGCGGATCTCTGTGAGTTCTAGGACGGCCAGGGCTACACAGAGAAACCCTGTATTGAAAAACTAAAATTAAAAAAGAAAGAAAGAGAAAAAAAGAGAGGGAAGCAAGCAAGCAAGAAACCTAGTCCCATGGATCCCAGGAAGCAGGAGTCTGGGTCTCACACTATGGACCCATCTGCTTCCCTCATCTCGTCCTCCCTTTGCTGAGCTCCCTGGAGAGAAGACTGGATCCACTCACATCATTCTTGACGCTCCTGGATAACATTCCATTGTCTTTAGGATAGCTCCAAGCCAGACATATCTTCTGTCTCTTCTGTGGAATGGAAAAGCTGCATCACTGCTCACCGCCTCCTGATGTTTCTTCCAGCTTGGAACCCGTGATTCAATGGCCTGACCTAAACTGGGTTTCATGCAAATGACTTCTCTCAGGCTGGCTGTACCAACCCCCAAAGCAGGAACTCTGGGCAAGACAGAGGCCCTCCTGTTCTTTCAGCTGAGCTTCCTCCTCACTGGTCTTCCAAGCACCTCTCAGCATTGGAGCCTGACCCCCGCAGAGCCATTGTGAACCTTTCCAAGTGCAGAATCCATGTTGGAGACTTCATAAGTGTCAACTTTCAGTTTCCCTCAGACACCGCAGGCTTCTTACTGTAAGGCAATGTTATCTTCATTTCATAGAGAAGGGAGCACACCCACATAAGTGAGAGGACTCGACAAAATCGGAGAGGGCAGGGCCCGTCCACAGGGACACTCTCAGCTGGAAAGGAACAGCATTCTACAGCCTCTCTTATGCTTCCAACACACACCTGTACACGCAGGTGACAAGGACAAGGGGCGGACTTAATCAAAACCTCGTGTGTAATTGGGCTCTGACATCATGCAGTCTAACTGGCGACATCGTGCATTTGTGTTTACGTTGACACCATGCATTTGTGTTTGTGGTAAGTTTAGAATTACAGCAGTGGCAGAGGCTGGCTTGATTTAGTTACAGACCCCAGAATGGCGCTAAGTCAATCATCAAAAGAAAGAAAACAACAAGTAAGAAAGAGGCAGTCAGCCAAGGAAATATAAACTATCAAGGAAAGAGGCTCTTGGAGTTCTGGAAATGGATAGCATCAAGAAAAAGTAAAGATGAGGGGGGGTGTGTGGCGCTAAGCTCAGAAAGTAAATTATCCTTTTATTGTTTCAGGGAAAGGCTGCTCTTTCCAGGAAAACACATGAAGGAGCCCCAGGGAACGTGGAAGCCTGATTGGGTCACCAACATTTTAACAACTCACAGTGTCCAGTAGGCTCTTTCCTCTAATTTACCAAGAGAGCAGCTGAAGCAAGGCACTACTGAGCCCTGGGACATCCCTTGTAGCTGACTTGTATTGGAGTAGGCCTATGGCCTGCTGGGACAGTAAAGGAAGAAAAGTCAAGCACCTTGTGGGCCACTAAACTGGTCACCCTAGAGCAGGAAAACCACTCACTCTTGGCTTTGGTCACTTGATTGAGACACGTGACAATGGGGGACCCAGGCAGGACCCTGGCTTCTGCAGGGATGATAGTGCACAGTGATGGACATGTAGGAAAGAGGAGCGGGAGGAATGGGGTACCATGTAGTGCTGCAACCTTGTACTTGGTCAGCCTGAACTTCTGGAGCAGAACTGAGAGTAAGAGGCAGTTTGTGTAGTCCAGGTACGGAACTGCATCCATACATCTCCCCAGTCCTCTACCCTCCTCTCACCCCAGGTCTTGTTTTCAGGCTCCGAGGCAGAGTGTGATATTTACTTTGCTCATGTTCATGTTGAAATGTACATCAGAGAAAGGTCAAGGCAGGTAGGTATCCTACTCCTCCCACGGAGGCAGTGAATGGAAGAGGACGCAGCACCATTTGGCTATAAAGCACTTTGCAACAGGCACAATGGAACATACTTATAATCCCAGAACTTGGAAGGGAGAGATAGGAGGGTCAGGATTTCAAGGTCAGACCAGCTTCAGCTACATAGTAACCTCATGAGTTTAGAGCTAGCCTGGACTCTATGAGATCTTGACAAAATAAGTAAGTGTGCTCTGTTTCTGCAGAGGTCTCTGTTTGGCAGAGGTCTATGTCCAAGGACAATTTGTGAAGGGAAAGGACAACTGCAATAGCCAAGGCAGCTCATCACCCCAGCAGTAGAGTCATGCCATGCTCAGCAAATGCTGAGATGGTATTGGCAGACAAGGAGGCAGAAGAGGAATGTAGACGGAGTTGCTGCCTGAAAATGCATGTCAGCTCTGCTCTCCAGAGAACACGTACTCCATCACTAACTCTTCCTAGAGAGGTGGAAATCAGTTGTAGCTTTAATCACCTTGTTTACTCTAACCTGGCAATAGATGGCTGCTTAATAGGAGCAAGAAGGCAAATTGCCCATAATTTTAGAGTGACCCAGGTCCAAAAGAGGACCTGGATGTATACAGATGTACTTCAAACACACTTCAAAGTGTTCTACCATGTGCATGGACATGAGAGCTGGACATGAAAAGACTCAGATGTCACTGCAGTGATGCCGGAATGGGCCGCTGATTGGCATAGGGATACATACACAGACAGTCTTCGTTACTGGCAGATCTGGCTTGGCAAATTCAGAAAGCACTGATACTTATCTGTAAGTCAAAAGCCAATGTTCATGTACTTTCATGGTCACTCAGAAGACAGCGCAGTGACAATTGTCTTCTTTGATGGACATACTGCCAGAGGAGGCAGGAAAGTGGAGGCCTGCCCTCTGACTCAACTCTCAAGCTTTTGCAGGCTATGTAGCAACGGCTTTTCTTCCCTCCCTAAGCAACTGTTATGCCCCTTCCTCACCCCTCCCATCACCCCATGGGTTGCTGTTGCAAACGCCTTCTCCAGACACAGAGGTGTAAGTACTGCAGGACTCTTAATAAGCATGTCTTGTGTCAGGTAAGCTTCCCCCAGCCTTGTGCAGAGTCTGAAGTTAAAGGACCAACACTGTCCATTAGGTAAGCTGTCTTAAACAGAAGGGAGCGCTCCACACAGCAAAGTCACATAAAGATAGTTTGATAAAAAAAAAAGTGACTATTTGCTCACAGGAATTTAACCCTGGGTATCCCCCCAGGATTAAGTGTGTCATATTCACTAATTTGGTGTTCATGGCAACTTTGCAGACCTTATCTCTTATGGGTAATGAAAAAAGGCTCCATATTGCAGCCAGGACTGTGGCTTGAACTATGCAGTGGATGGTAGAGTCATTGGTGACTTGGGGCCCACAGTGGGGAAGACAAAAGTATCAAGCAGTGGGCTTGACAAAATCCTTGCATTACTCTCATTCCCAGAACTCTATGGCCTTATTCTGTTATCATGAGAACCCTCATGGCTTGGAAAGTCTCTCTACGTTTCCCAGGGCATTCCCCAGATCAAATCTTCCCAGACATTTCACTTGGCCATGGACCTAACACCAATATTCCTGTATACCTTCTGCCTTGGAGCCCCCAGTTTAGCACTTCAGACTCAAAAGGACATAGTGGGATGCCCTCAGAAGAGTGGGAGAATTGCAAAAAGGCTTTTGTAATGAGTCTGGAGTTCACTGATAAGAGAGACAGCACTGTTCAGAGGACTTTAGAGCACAAAAGGAAAGACAAACTTCTCCCAAACCGGCTAGTATCCAGGAAGTTAACTCAGCTGAATTCCAGGAAGATGGGGCAAAGGGAAGAAGTCTGTGGAGGTGAACACGAGTTTGAAACATTAAGGAGAAAAGGCAAGAGAGGTAAGGAAGAGAACGAAAAGAAACAAGTAAGAGCCTTGCAAGAAGACTCTGAACCTGCCTGATGGGGAGGGGTGGGGTGGCTTTGTCATGGATCTACAGGTACCTGACCCATAGAAAAGTCATCACTCTGGGATCCTTTCACTGTGAAAAAAAAATTGAGCAGGGGTTGGAAAACATGGCCTATCGAACAAACTCACCCATGTTGTGTTTGTGTTGTATAGATCAGCTAAAAAGTGGTTTTGTATTTTGAGGTTTGGATCCTGAGTATGTGTAACACTAAATTGTGCTAGTAAAATTAACAGCTGCCTTTTACAGAAGTTTGCCAACATCACACAAGAGCATGCCACTCAGTACATGCTCTGATAGTCACCAGGACAAAGAATAGCCCAGGCTATGGGTTGGAGCTTTGTGCCAGGCCTCGTGTGAAGCTGGAGTGCTTGCTGCTCCCTGAAAACATGCCTGCGACTGTGGCTGACCACAAGAGTTGGATCTTTGGCTTTTGTATGATCAAATGATATCTGAAGAAAAAAAACAGACAAACAAACAACAACAACAAACACAGCCACAGGAAAAGCAAATCTCTGACACCAGTACCTAACTCTAAAAGATTTCTCCTTTAAAGAAAATTGCAAAAGCCAGGCATTGGTGGCACACACCTTTAATCCCAGCACTGGGGGCTGAGGCAGGCAGAACTCTATGAGTTGAGGCCAGTCTGGTCTACAGAGTGAGTTCTAGGACAGCTAAGGCTGTTACACAGAGAAACTCTGTCTCAAAAAACAAGAAAAGAAAAGAAAAGTGCAACATATGGTGGCATACTCCTTGGGAAGGTGTGGTGAGAGAGCTGTTAAAATCAAGTCCAGCATGAACTACAAAACCAAAAGAAAAAAATGTAAAGATATATTTTATTTCTAATTTGTGTGTGTGTGTGTGTGTGTGTGTGTGTGTGTGTGTGTGTGTGTGTGTGTGAGCACATGCCGAGCGCAGGTAATCAAAGAGGTCAGAAGAAGGTATCAGGTCGCCCTGAAGCTGGAGTTACAGTTGTCATGAGTTGCCTAGTGTGAATGTTAGAAACCAGACTTGGGTCCTCTGGAAGAGCTGTATGTGCCCTTAACTGCTGAGCTATCTCCTCCCAGCTTCTCCAATTCTTTCTTTTATTTTTGCTATAATCATTTACATGTATGGGTGTTTCATTTGTATGTCTGCCTGTGCATGCAGTGCTCCTGGAGGTTAGATGAGGGTGTTGAATGCCCTGGAACTGGACTTAAAGACAGATATGAGTGGTCACGTGGATGCTGGGAATCAAACCCAGGTCCTCTTGGATTGTAGACAGTGCTCTTAACACTGAGCCACATAGCTGAGAGTAGAGACCCTTTTCTGGTCAAAGATTGGAGCCATGTTACCTCTTTCCATCTTTCCAGCCTTCACTGGAGTGAGGGGTGGTCTTGTTGGGACCACTGACCCACTACAGCCATCTGGTAACTGTCACCC